TTCACAGGAGCGAGGCCTCCTACAGTGACACCCAACCACATCAGAGAGCCTTCCAGAGAGCTGCCACCACCAGGCACAGTTTCCATGGAGATATCAGGGAGAGGAGGAGATCATCATACCGAGAGAACAGTGGGAGAGATCAGAGAGAAGAGAGAGACAGGCACCATTATAAAGTAGACCATGACGGGGAGGCTTCTGAGATTAGTAGTAGAGGTTCCTATTTTGATAACAGAGAAAGGCGAGGCAGTAGAAGGATGAAAGAGCACAGATATGATGATGAGAGGGAGAGGACTGCATATGGCTGTGAGGTCAAAAGGGCAACAAGCCAACGCAGGCATTGGCACAGTACCATAGAAGAAAGGTTAAGCTCTGAGGAGGAGCAGGAGATGGAGAGGAGAGTAGAGTGGCACCACAGCAGAGCCCCAAGGCGTAGCCAGAGTCTCAGGAGCAGCAGCGTGGCCTCTACCAGGGAGAGGTCAAGAAACATGGCAGCAGGTAACATCCAGAACTGCAGCAAGCTCCAATCTGCCGGGGGAAGCTTCCACAGCTGCGCTCCTCACCTCTCTGTGTGCATCTGCTCCTCTCGTATTCCCTCAATCATCGTCTAATCTGGACAAATAGAGATTTTTTTAGTGGTGGCTTTGGGTCTCTTACTGAAGTGGAACAGTTACTGGTTTATATCTGTCCTGAAATAATCATCTTGTGCTTTTATTCTAAACTTCTTCTTCATTTTTTTTAGTCAAAGAGAATAAGTAGCATGGAGTGTCTTTCAAAACCTATCAACATCGTTTAACATGCTGCATATTCTCCTCTTTTGGTGTGATTCAAATTCAAAGTCCTTTTGTCTTCCAACTTCTGTTTCAGTTCACACGAATGATTCTGGACCGATCATGTTTTATGATCTTGAACTTTTCATATGCCTCTTGTCGTCGTCATATTACACTTCAGTTCCTTCGTTTGACATGTTCAAATCTTTCCTTCAGGAGCGTCACAGCAACCCGATCCAGACGAGACAAGCCTGGACCTGGAGGAGCTGCAGCAGGTACTGAGGGATGAAGAATTGGCAAGAAAACTGCAGGAGGAGGAAGAAAAGCTTTCGAGGAGGGTAATGGACACAAAACTTTATTGTTGCAAAAATGGGAAAAAAAAGCAGTCTGATTTTTTCTCTGACTGTTGCTGCTTTTCATTGCAGCTCTCCCATCCTTCTCCACGAAGTTCTCAGCCAGCGGGAGACTTCAGAGTGGCACAAGTAGCTCAGGATGAGGTACCACAGTGACTTCAATATGCTTGAATCTTCAGTGTAACACTCAAATGTTGAAAGATGAATTGTTGTGTTTGTGCTCTAGGAAATTGCACGTTTTATGCAGAAGCAGGAAATCAAGTCGAAGCGTAGATCTCGTGAGCTAGAAGGACCTGAATCATGGCGCGAGCACAGAGCCATGATGAGTCATCACGACAGAAGAGCTGCGAAAGACAGACAGGTACATGTGTCATCAACCCTGAAAAACAGTTTCAATATCCAGAGAGTAAATATCAATGCACATCACAGGGTTCAATCAAGAACTTTTTTTTTTTTTTTTTATATTTTATTTGTAGTTTTTAGTTTTTGTGCATAATAAAAATAATACATGAACAGAGAATGATTCAAACAAGCACACATGGCTCAGACATGTACATAAATACACATAAAATGAATCAAATAAATGGTAAACTGTAATTGCTTACATAGCTGTCAGTCAGTCAGTACACTCAAATATGCAGGAAATTAAGTCTCTAAGAAGAGGTCTTTGGGGGTAAGAAGGTGAGTTTTCAGTAACGACAGCTTTGTCCAAGTGGGCAAGAAATGGGTGCCAGATGGCCAGATTGGACCCTGAGTTTTTCCATACGTATGGCTGACATCATTTCAGAGATTCATTTTTGAAAAGAAGGTAGAGAAGACTTCCAGTCTGTCAGTATGAGTCTCTTGGCGATTATCATCCCCAGTGCTAGGGGGCCTTGCAGACGTGAAGGAAGACTTTCAGTTTACTGTGAGCAGCCAAAGATGGCAAGACCAGCATCTGAATAAAATAATTTACCGTAGGCCTTAGAATACCAGCAAATATTTTGGACCAAAATCCAGGGAGCAAAGGACAGGACAAGAAAGTGAGAGTCAATGTGTCATCTGAAACGAGGAAACAGAAGAAGAAACGATGTAAACTGTGTTTAGAATAGTGAAGTCAGTGGACCGCCTAAAATTGAATCAGCTAGTGTCTACTGTTTACAGAGCAAGAATGTATCATACACAAACTATTATCCCACAAAATCTCAGGCAGATCAATGCCTAATCTTCTGTCCAAGCCTCCCTGATCTTCACAGTATGGTCATGCATTTTCTGCTGAGAGGGTCTCAAAGTCATACAGTTTGAATAGTATTTAGAGCTTTTTATACCAGATCGATTCACACTTACCTCTTAAAGGTGTTACTTACCGCTTAAAAAGCTAGTGTCCTAAAAAGTTGGGGAAAAAATCGACTTGACTTGATATAAGGTCACACAAATGTCTTAAAATGTCTTACATGTACCTGTGAGAGGTCTTAAGTTAAAAGAGACATGTCTAAATACTTTTTAAAATCCTCACTGTTGTTCGTATTATGTTTTGATAAAATACAGGGAATGGAGGGCAAGAGCAAAAACAATTATTACAATGCAACTGGCAAAATATGCATAACAGCTTTTAAACATTAGCCAATGGGAATCAAAGCAATTCAGTCGAACATGAAATCAGAAAAGCTTTAACTAATAAGCAGCAACCCTGAATTTTGTGTTATCTAACACATTCGAGTTTGTCTTCTTAGTCAACTTTTAGAGTCTGACAGGAAGTCAGATCCTTCTCTGGATTCAAGTGAAATCCAGACCTACATATCCATATCACCATGGGGTGTAGAGGGTCGAATATCCACTTATAGAGAGCTCTCTGTTAGTATTGGTGTTTTTTGTCAGCTAAATGAGTAAGACTCGACTTTCTGCTGCCTCAGGTCCAGCGAGAGAGGCTTGACTCAGAGGGACTTCCCTCCCCCACAGAGGACTGTTCCCCAGAGACCCTGCCACCCAGCCCCATCTCCACTCTACCGTAAATGTCCCTACAGTAATGTCTGTACTTTTACTATGTATCTTATATCGACATCATTTGCTTACTTACAAACTGTTACATTCACAGACCGACCCAGCAGGTCAGAAACATCGCAGAGGAGCTGGACCCGACCTTCCAGTCCAGGAGGCTCGACACAGAGAGCCTCAGAGTGGGGCCAACAGGTTCTGTAAACAGGACGGTCTCGCTCAGAATGAAACTCAGCAAACAATGGCTGGACACTCAGACCCTTTTCCCTTCGATGCAGGTCCAACCTGTCAGCCACTTCCTGTGCCGCAGCCCGGCCTGCGTGACTTCCTCGAGGAGCCACATTTCATCCCTCCAACAAAACGGCAAACGGACAAATCAGGACGCACTAAACCCAAAGAGAAGAGGGAAAACTGCAAGCAGCAATAATAGCTGTGCTTTTGGAATTCATAAATGTATTACGTTTATAACACTACATATCTTTTCAGCTACATGGTTCTCATATCTGTAAGTCTAAAAAAAGAATCAAGTTTTCTCTCACTATCCATCCCTTCCAGCACTTTAGAGCAGAAAGATGTTTATTAAGTGAATAATGACAATTTGGATGCATGCCTTTTATATTTTTCAAAGGGACATTTATAGTTTGTTTAAACATTGTTTGCATTCTGTAGTGTTATCAAGTGTTTAATTTAAACAGTATACTTTTTTTTACAGATAAATATGTGTTACTTTTTTGTTGTTACTATCTTGTTAGGCAGTCTGTTGTGAACATCTAGAAGAAGAAGTCACTACGATAACCTCCGACCATTAATGACGCAGTTTTCAAGAAGCTACTTAAAGACATCCCTTCTTCGATTTCTGCCAACTCTGTCTATCAGCAGTTTGACCGGACAATGCTGAATGACAATCTAATGAAAGTCCCTCTTGATGAAAAATCAAAGTGAGAGAAGTTTACAATCTAAAGTTCAAAGGTCACCTCACTTTACAAGTGCTTCAACTGCATTTCACTGTGGGAAACATCAGCCGCTTAGAACCGTCCTTTGGATGTGACAGTGTTGATATCTTCCTCATATACAACTGCTTGGTAACCCCCCACACCACCCCATGGAATTTCCACACATGATTACATATGAGTGAATGAGGACTGAGATTCGGTTGAAAGCTGCAGAAAGATTGTTCGTGATCCTTTTATATTATATTACTTGGTTGATATGCAACTCCATTTATTGTATGTTTTATCCACACTGGTTTCTGTAAGTCAGAGACATTTATGAGTTATATAATACAATGCTCCAACAAACTGATTTGATGTTCAAACAGAAAACAACTCGTGTGTTTTGCTTTTGTTGTTGTTGATGTTCGTATTACTGCCACATTTAAAACACTCTTTTTCTTTAGTTGTTTTTTTTTTTTTTATTGTCAGGAAGTGCAACAAATAATAATAAAAAAAATCGTTCATTTTTATTGTCTGATATGAAAATACATTATTAAAGATTGCTCTGGTGTAATCCAGTGCTGGCATAGCTCTAAAAACAGATCATCAAAAAACACATCACGTAAAGAATATAAATGGCAGAAATACACTTTGACATGATATAAAAGAAGTGCATACAAGCAACCAGACAACAGTGGGCAGTTAAAGTGCTGCAGTTCTTAAAAAATGTTACTGTACGACTTTGAGCAGTCATCATCGTTATGACTCATACACACTAATGCATTACTATAGGTGTGGGCTCACATTTTCACCTTTAACCCACACAGCACATTCTGAAAGGTTCCACTTCACAAAGAGACATTAAAAAAGTTCCACTTAGTCTGGACTCACTGCCCACTGTGTCGTGATAAAAGCAGCAAAGAGTACAGGACTGACTGGGCGGGGCGTTGGGGGGGGGCAGGGTGGGCGGGCGGGGGCGGTGGTGGGGGCAGGGTGGTCCACATGACCCTTCAGCCTCACTTTGAAATCTGCTGTTTCTCTATAACTGCTCTCCTATCGCTGCTGAGGTTTCCCGACATGACGCATTTAAAAGGACTCCCAAGTATACATTTTCAACCGATGACTAATGACGTGACATTTAAACCTGCACGTGGGACGCTCACAGAGTTTCCCAACTCTTTCACAAGATACATGTCAGCTTGCTTGTTGATGCTGCTGAAGCTAAAAATAGGGAGCGACAATAAGCAGAGGCACTAAAGATAAACAGATAACTCTTCTGTAGACTCCCTGGTACGTAATATTTACCTACTAACAAAGAGGGAACTCCCTCTGGACTTTTTACCACCATTACAGCACTAGAAGGAAAGTCCTTTTGGACTTCCTTGTAATAAGGGGTAGACAGAGGATACAGCTTTGTTTACAAAAAGTGCATATATCTTTTACCTTGTACAAGATGTATCACACAAAGAAATACAATATGGACAGATTAAAACAAAATAAAAAAGTAACACTCCCATTGCAAATCATATTTCACCACAGGAATAACATGTAACATTTTTTTTTTTTGCTGCATTAACTCAAGAGATATAAAACATAGAAAATTAGCAGAAAGAAAGAGGTAACTGTTATTGGAGGCCGAGTCAGACAACATCTGGCTTGGAGATGTGTGTAGGCTCAGTATTAGGTGGGACGGAAATTCTTGTTAGATGTATACACCTGACTGAACACCCACCTGCACTGTACACTCAAAAAGAGTTACAGTCAGTACAGTACAGTTACAGTCAGTAACAATACTCCAACATGCAAATATGGGAATATTCAAACTCATTCAAATGCTATAATATTGTACACAGGGTATTCCCTTGTAGTTTCCAAAGGCTGCGTGTGTGTTTTTCTTTTTCAACTTTCCCTGGCAGTCTTTAGGCCTACTGTTTCTCTAAAAGGTAATAAACAGCCTCATTGTCAGCGAGCCAATCGTTTATATGATGAATAAAAAGGCCTCTTTGTGTTTTTTCCCTTGCAGAAATCCCCTTCTCCCCTGGACTGAATAATCAAAAGATCTTTGTTTTGATTATGGCGTAATGTTCTCTTTAACTGATATATATATAATATCAAAGTAGTTTTGTTTACTCTTTAAAAAAACAAAAGAAACAAAAGAAACAGGCTGGATAGATGTAAGCTTTGTAAACACATTGCTCCATTTCTTTCATTTAGAAACGGAGTGACAAACAGAAGACATCCTCCAAACATGGGCTCAGGATATTCAGGATATCCCGTTTCCAGTCAATTCACAAAATCTGGGTTTTGAGGGTTTTTTCCAGTGTTGTCGGGTAGTCTAGCCCCTGTTTGTTCACGGTAGGAGCCGCTCTGAGGAGTCTTTGGAAGTGAGCGACTCTAAGCTGCTGCCCTGCTCCTGCTGGGCTTCATGGAAGCTGCACTCGATTGCAACTAAAGTTCTGGGTTCATCTAAAGAAGAAAAAGAGGTCAAATCAAATATTTTCTCAATACATTCACAAAAATTGAAACTGGATAATCAGTCAAATCTGACTATTCTTCATGAAGTAGTATCAATCACCTGAAGGGGGTACAATTATCATTTTTTCACTGCTCTCTTCAGGCTCTTCCATCTCTTTAGGCGACGTCTCTTCTTTGCTTGGCCTCCTTTTATGAATTTTCCAGGCCAGAGTGACAATAAAGCAAATCAGCATTATGCCAAAGACCAAAGGCAACAAGAAGGGCAATTCCCTCTCTGTGTTACCTGATGGAAGAAGGTAAGTTATTTTTGGTTTGTGTTGAAAAATGACGAGATGATCGAGTTGAGCTGAACTTTCGCCTACCTGGTTTCTTTGCATTGCTGACTGTGATGACAGAATCCTCAGAACCAGTTGTGCCTTCAGGGATATCGGAACACTTGATGTCAGAAAATGCATCACCACTGGCCACAATAACTTGACCTGGATTGGGACACCTTGAAGGGTAAAATAGTGACAGAAGAATTGAAATGACAATACCTCAGATTTGTATTAAACATAAAGTATGCTTCTGAAGTGTCTGATGTAACCAGGACAGAGATGATATAAGTTTACAATGGGCGCGCCTGGAGATAGTATCTGAAGGAGATTTAGGAGTCCCCTCAAGTGAAATGTTTACATTGAGGTGTTGTATAGGAGTATTGCCATATATGGTTGTGTAACTTGATGTTTTTATGACCCATGATGAAAAGCAGATGTTTAGGTGCATATAAGCAATTGTCTCTGTGTGTTCGACAGAGATCATTATTGGCTTCTTGATCCTCTGGTCAGACGTGACCAGTGATTCTGTTTCTTGCTTAAATAAAATTATACTCTTTGAAAGCAAGTCAGTCTCAACGGCGAATTTCTTCATCATCAAACATATCAACAACAAGGAAATCCACATCACTTCAAAAGAGTAAGATCTTTTCAGAGTGTAACTCACGTGGTACTCCAGGGTTTACACTTCTGATGAGTTTGGTTATTGAAGGTCCCCTCTGGACAACGCCTGCAAGAACCTGTGCAGACATTCAAGGCTCATTCATTTCATTTCCTAATTTTTCAGTTAATTTACCACCTGGAAATTGCGTTTATATGTACCAAAGTTGTGTTGTTGTTTTCAGTACTCACGTTTATCTGTAGGTTCCTGACCTTTGCCACACTTATCCACACAGAAGGAACACTCGTCATTACCACAGGTGAGTCCTTCTCTGCAGCCGCACACGGTGTTGGCTGAATTTGTGCATTCTTTCACAAGAACAAGAGCTTCTGCACAAACAATGAGATGGAAAGAGGGTTGTAATTTTCAACTTGTTTTTGTCTAAAAAATTATAACTGATTCATTTTAGTAACTGGTTAGAGCTGCCAACATACCCACACAATGTCTGCACCTGTCACACTTCATGTTTATAGCTTCATTTGTAAATGTCCCACGTTCACAAGGAGTACATAGTTCTGTGGGTCTGGACCACACTTTGTGACCAGGCGGTTTCCTACAAAAACACACATTCAAGACACACACACACATATACATACAACAGATACAAAATATGGAATTGTAAGCTCGGTTGCATCAGAAGACATACATTTCTGTGAGAAGAAAAGTGATGTCTGGGATAAAACAACAGACTGTTTCAGCAACACTTGTGTGTTGATTTGACGCCCCCTGTGGACAAAGCTGTTTTTTCTTTTACAAAAAAATCTCATTCTTCTTTCTCTTGACAGAAAAATGTACAACTCATTGAGAAGCTTTGTGTTGAAAATCCTGCACTTTGACACCTACAGTTTCAGACATTCAAAATAATGACAGAAAGAGTGAATCATTATGATGATGATGTCGTTTGCTTTTGTAGCTCATAAAGAGGCATCGTTATTAATTCCAGTTTGTTTCATTACTAGTGTAAAAACTCCTCACACTACCTTTAATGACCTTTAATATATAATATCCCAGCTCCAAGATGACCTTTTTCTAACCTTTACCTTTGTGGTGGCATTAGTTGTAAAAACCACTGAAACTGTCTGGTTACATGTAACCACATCAAAGGAAATGCTGGAATATCTTTTTTTTTACACATCCGAAGATGGAAGCACTCACAGTTCAGTAAACATCACATAACATGAAATCTTAACGTCTTAGTAATAATAGTTTTTCTTTCAAAATGTATGAAATGTCTCATTTAAATGATAAATAAATGTTTTTGTTTTTTGTTTGTTTTTTTAGTATGATAGTTTAAAATGTTTAAGACTAGTCTAACAGCAACAAGTTCAATATAAAGATGATTCAAGGATCACTTTTCCCCGCAGAGCTTTAGTAAAGGTGTTAATATAACACCCTGATCCAGCAGTTTAAACATTGATCTTTATGTTTTATTAGGCTACTCACCAGGATGACATTTCTTACAGCAAACAATATCTCCGTGTTGGTCCCACAACACGCAGCCTGTGTCATTGTGCCCCACACTGCTCAGACAGCCGTGCATCAGCAGAGACAGACCCAGCACCCTAAGGATCACAGCCGTATTCATGTCTGCCACTTCAGGGGGATGTGAGGTAATCCAGTCAAAGGTATATCCCAGGCACTCGAATGCACTCGAAAGTACTAAATGTTTTATGTTTAAATCTAAAAGTTATGCAAAAATGATTTAACACTAGCAACGATGTAACGTGAAGAAGAAAACGAAATAAATAATGTCAGAGGAAAGTCTGTCTGTGCTGTGGCCACAGAGCTCTCACACGCATTACTCATCTGATAGTGAAGAGCCATGCTATTCATACTGATGTTTTTTTAAAGGGGGCGTGGCCTCTGATGAAAGATATAGAGTGCGTAAATTAATATTATTGACTGAAAATACTTTAACTCAGTGGTTGAAAAGTTTTGTGGACTGTGACAAATTTTTACTTCTATGTTGGATCATTTCATAAACGTTTTGACTCATTTAATTGATACGCATTGTAAAGCAACATTAGAAATACCTGTTAAAAAAAGCTATAAAAACATCATGTTGAATTATTTTCTTTTTCTCTGCCTCTGTGCTGATATCTGATCGTACCACCAGCTGTGTCTGAAACTCTTGACGATGTTTACACTGTGCCTCAGTGCTTTTCCTGCTTATTGCAGCCCCCTATTTGCAATTGATTTTCTTATTTAACAATGACTTCTTAGAGTCCCACAGCTGCTCCATGTTAGTCAAAGCCCCTGACCCAGTGGCATTCTCCTCCGGGAAACTAGATTCAGAGAGATTATCTCGAGTAATGGACTTTATGTTATTAAAAGCTTCAGATTACAGCAATAGCTAGACTTTGTTGCTTACATGCTGCTTGTTCCAACCTGTCTAGATTTACTGATCTGCAATAAACAATTTAGTTTATACGGAACCAAAACTAAATCTACAGTAGAAACCCCACTTCTAACCACAACTCCAAGCAGGTTCCTATTAGACACCATACAAAGACAAAAAAATGCTAAAAAATGTTCCCGTTTTAAGAAATTGTTGTTGTTTTTTGTTAATGATTTTCATTATATGAAAAATCATGTTCATTGTCTTGTATTTTAGGAATCAGCAGTTGTAAAAATTGGTGTTTTTCACCAAGACATGAGTTCACGATGGCTGCCAAAAAGGCCTCTTTGGACATTATTTGAACGCTGAACCTTTGACAGTTCAAAGTTCAAAGTTTCAAAGTTTGAAAAGACTCCCTCAAAAACCACATTTCTCCTGCTCTACAGGTAGGCTATTTGTTGTTGTTCCCTGTTTGTTGTTCAAATCAAAAATATTCAGTTATAAGAGGGTATTTGTCATTGCTTTTACATTAAAATATACATAACATAACATGTATAAATACTGGTGGCTGTAGCTTAGCTGGTAGAGTTGGTCGTCTCTCAACCAGAAGGTCGGGGGTTGGATCCCCAGCTCCTGCAGCCACATGTCCGATGTGTTCTTAGGTAAGACACTTAACCCCAAGTTTGATGTATGATGGACATCTGATGGATACTTTACATAGAAACCTCTGCCATCAGTGTGTGAATGGGAGAATGTGTGAAGGGGTAGGTGTGACCTGCAGCGTGAAAGCACTCAGAGTACTCAGAAGACTAAAAAAGCACTATACAAGTTCAAGACCTTTTACCATTTACATCAGACCTGCTGCTTCATTATGAGACATCCAGACACCCCCACCCCCCAGGGGTGGGGTAGTACTCACTATTCCCAGAATAAGAACCAAGCAGGTTGAGGCAGCTCTATAGTTTCTACACTCTTTCCCTGTGGAATGAACCTGAGGCTTTCTCAATCAGTTTATTCATCTACTGCTGCCTTCCAATAAGTTCTATCACTTTCTATCCGTTTACACTTTTAATTTCATTCAGTCATCATATATTTACTTATTTATTTTAATCAGTATTGATTGATATTGGTGTTTTTTTTTTTTGCCTTATGCCGTATTTCTTACTGTCTTTTGGATGTTTTATATATTTTGTGTTTGAATGTGTCAATGAGGACTGATGTCATATTTCCTGTGATGCTCCGTATGCTCTGCTTTTAACTCTGTAAAGCACTTTGAATTGCTCTATGTATGAATGGTTTATAGCTTTATAGATAAACTCACCTTGCATCAAAACATCTCATGCGACGATCACACAACGTATTGAAATTTACTATGCACTGTCATCTAGCTACTTAACTGAATGCATCAAAAGGTAGCTTAGTTGTCAAGTTTTTCATGACTATAAACGTTTCCAGAAGTGCAGCTGGAGAAATATTTGGCACATTGGCCTTCTGACATAAGTTCTGGGAGGCGGGGGGGACATTCCAGCTCATATTATGACATGCTCTACAAGCATTACCATACTAAGCAAAATGAGACCCAAAAAAAACAGAGTGATAAAATCGTATTTTTTTTGTGCTGTTCAATTCTGACAATTGTTGAAAAAGAGGATGACAGTCTTTAGAAATCCAGTATGTGTACATGGATGCTGATGAGTCATGTTTCACACGAGTTACTCAGTCAAGGTCATGAGCTTAGTCAGAAGACAGAAGGAAAGTTCATAATTTTCCCTCTTTGCTCTAACTGGCTGCCATCAATATATACAGTGTCTGAAGATTAACACTTAAACTGAAAACTGAAACTGAAAGTGCAATACTATAGCTGTGCTGGAAGTGGAAAGCTGACAGGTTATTAATTTATTAGGCAGCTCTGGTTACAAATTCTGTTTCCTTTCTAATCCCAGGTCATGGGTCATGTTTACCTATCTTATATGTCTGGTTATTTGAGGCTATCATTTCCTCTGAGTCAGCTACTTTACACTGGAGTAAACATACTTCAAAATCATACTCCAAAATCTGCATGCTTGGTCATGTTTCAAGTGAATTATGATCTTTTGAGTGACATTCAAGACATTAAGCAGACTTTGCCTTTTGACATTCTCCCCCTTCAGTTGTAGAATACCACGGCTCGCCTCCTTAAAGAGCACACGCATGTTACCTGAGACTATGATGTCAAAAGCTGGCAGCTCATCTTCCTACTCACATGTGGTCAAGAAACACCTCCCACACTTTACCTTCAACCTACCCCTCTAAATTCAGCTATGAGGCACAGTAAACCCCAACAGCTTAATTAACATAGAGACCTGGGAAATACTGTTAGAATGTCCAGTAAAAAGTGTAGTCAAGTTAGATTCATTCTGCTGGTAAATGAGTGTGTGTGAGTGTGTGTGTATTTGCATGTAGGCTGATATCAGCCTCAGAGTCAAACTGTATCTATGTCAGTGCCAGTGTGGGACTAAATAGTTTCACATCACTCAACATGATCAAAGATTAATGCAATCTTTAGCGCGTCACTTTTAACTCAGCCCCCTCGCACATCATTACAAGGCTCTGACATCACTTCCTTCCTGACAAACCTCTTATAACACATTTGATATATGTGTAGGAGCCTAGCGTCACACCAACCATAGTGTCGATCTGTGGTTGGTTGGTCAAGTAGACTTGGGGGTCTGCATTTGTTTCAAGCGTTTGAATTAAAAAAAAAGCAGCCTCAGCCCACTGGGAAAGTACACGCAGCGGCTCAAAGGTTCCACTCAGGCGTGTAAAGTGTCAAAACAAAAAAAGTGCAGCTGATACTTTTAGTGTTGTGGTGATCACTGACATCCTACAGGTTGTCTGTACGATACACACGCCTACTTGATGAACAAAGATCTGTTCACTGTTCAACATTTGAAATGATTCAAATGAATTTAAACCATTGACTGCAGTTATTCAAATACATACATATATATATATCTCGTGTATCAAATCTTTAAGTCAAATATGGATGTTCATTTAAATTAAATGTCTCCATCTAGTGGTTCTGAAGAAAAATTAAAAAGAAAACTATAAATATGAGATTATTCAAGTAAGTCATTGAAACAGGTACATGTCATGGAAAAACAGACACGACTTTGAACATATATATTTTTATTCATATATATAATAAATTTCTATGTACAATTTATTCTTCTTTTGTAAAGAAACAACATTAATGAGAAAGCTTTGATTGCAAACAGTGTTTCATACTAAAGGGAGGGAGAGACAAAAAGGGAAAGTGCTCTTTAAAACTAATCTGTCTGTCTGTGTGTGTGTGTGTGTGTGTGTGTGTGTGTGTGTGTGTGTGTGTGTGTGTGTGTGTGTGTGTGTGTGTGTGTGTGTGTGTGTTAATCCCCTCCTGTATCTACAGTATATTGTTGGTATGTGTAACAGGGGTTTGCTGCAGGATTTTTATCTGAAGGCCGGGATTCCCCTTGAATTCATTTTAAAGAGAAGTGTAAGATTGCAAAAAATTGACTTTGTAGACGCTCCTCAATTGTTACAAAATATTTACCACACAATGTGAGGCTTTGGTTTTTATCACACTGACTTTAAAATCAAAGCAAGGAGACAACTATGATGCTTTTAGCAAACTGGTTTGATGTCACATCAAGCCTTTGTTTTTACCAGCTGTGGTGGTTGACCACTGTTTGCAATCCTGTTTGTGAGCTGTTTTCTTTTCTTACTTAAAGTGTTAATGAATGTCAGGGTTCAATCACTGACAGGAATAATGATACATTCGACAAAGCACAGCTAGGACAGTGGAGACTCGGCCACTGATTCACAAAGGGTGATGTCTGATTGTCTGTCAGTTAGTCGTCGTAGACAAAGTATGACACCATCAATGTAACATGATCACATAAATAACAGCACAAAAATCATCCAGTGTACGGATTCTTCCTTTAGGACATTGGCAAGAGGGAAAGCCCCTTTCCCTAATCAGGGTAATACTTTAAACAAAATGTATTCATTACATTTCTTTTCTTTAAAGCAGGTGAGACAGTCATGCAATATGCAGCCGAGTTAAACCACTGGCTGCCTACAGGGCCTCTCTCATGAAGTCAAAGAAATCCACAAAATGTGGACGGATCAAAGTTAGCGTTTTAGCAGTTGGCAGGTAAGAGCTTCAATAAGCCTTGATGGGGCAAGAGGTTTGGCGTCACGCGCACACTTTTAATAGCACACACACATCTGGAGATCAATTCCAAGTTCAAGACCCAGAGAAATGTTCCTAAGTGCGGGCTGTAGTAGTCGGTCTGGGTCTGGGGGATTGAGATCCAGGCCCAGTCAGCTTAAAGGTGTTGCAGAAGAGAAAATGTCCGAGACAGAGTGCAGTCTCCAGAGAAATGTCTGCGCGGCAGCTTTAGAAAATCACCACACCGAATACCACTCACGTTTTACAAACTGTACACGTCACGTCAATACAAAAGAGGGGACGGCCACAGAGGACCCCTGCATGTATGTGAGATGACCCATCATGTTGTGCTTTTGCTGCCTGTTTTTTCTTTTCTAGACATCTGAAGGAGAGAAAGGGAGAGAGAGAGAGAGAGAGAGAGAGAGAGAGAGAGAGAGAGAGAGAGAAAGAAAGAGAAAGAGAGAGAGAGAGAGAGAGCGAGAGAGAGAGAGAACAAGGGAAAAGGGAGAGGGCCAGTCATGGTCTACATTCTCATTTTGGAGGCAAAGGACAGAGATGAGAAAAAAGGAGATGTTTTAGTTGTTTTGTGCTCGATGAGTTTAAAAGGCACTGTCCTGTCACATGATGTCAACAAAAAACTCACAGGGATTGCCCATAGCGTGCTGGAAGGACTGACGACTGGCGGTGAGCTCAGGAGGAACGGCGGCCAACTCTCTCCCGGGAGGGGCTCCAGGGGGCGTGCTGCTGCTGACCGAGGTCTTTGGGGCCAGACGGGCCAGACAGTAAGGGGGAGGCAAGCCCGGGGGGCCGTAGGAGGAGGCATGGCTCCGCTCGCTGTGGGCGCACGAGCCTGGCCCCGGCTGGGTGAAGGGGGCGTGGCTGTAGGTGAAGGAGGGGTGGCTGTTCTGTGAGTGAGGGTGACTCCTGTGTGACTGACTGTGGCTGAGATTGGAGCGGGTGTGACTGTGACTGGAGACGGCGTGACTGTGACTGGAGACGGCGTGACTGTGGTGGCTCATTTGGCTGGCGGACCTGTCGGCGCGCCTCCCTCCTCCGCGGACGCGGGGCTCTGATTCGCTGCATGTTCTTTGACCTTTGTCCTGCGGAGAGGAGCGTTTGCCTTTGCCTGCGCTGGGGTTGGATCCGCTGCTCCGGCTTCCTGTTGAAAATAAAACAAAAACAAAAAAATTCAGCTCCTCTTTCGACAGAACAAATACAAAATGAGCCTCAGAAAGAGTCAGCAGCTCCAAGTTCTGCTGATCAAAAGAAGGTCACACTTTGAACAAAATAAAGCTGAATAAAGCCCGAGTAAAGTGCAACACAAACTTTACATAACATCTCATGGTTGTGAGGGAGAGATTCCCTCGTGTGATTTATGCAGTCAAATATATTGAGTCTTACAATTACATTCATGTACTTTGTTTAAGGTGTGACGAGATATTTTCTTATGCAGTCTAGCAACAGTTCACAGTCAAGGGCAAACATGATTATCTCACACGTTTCTTCCCAAAGTTTCACCGACAGCAACAGATACCATGAGCGTAATCTTCAATTCATACAGAGAAAAAGCCACATATTGTATATGATACACCTGCATCAGAAAGACACTAACAGCCAGCAGTGAGAGGATGAAACAGAATAACACAACAGATATGTCTCCAAAGTTATTCCATTCATGTTGTCAATCATGTTTAAAATGAACATGTAGGTGTCAGGTTTCAGTGATAGAAATGCACACTGGTGGCGTCATGCTGATAGAGGTGTACCAAATGATTCAAAAGTCAACATCCCACATAGAGCCCAACAGTACTGGGTAAAATGGTGCATGATCGCCCCCTATCAGTGAGAATGATAGCACAAGCCTCTCAGTGATCATCCTGCATCATGCACCTCCCAGCACAGTACGAACGCATGCCCAGAGGTGCAGAGAGGGAGAGTCACACACAGAGATACACACGGATACATGGGACGGGCGGAGGAAAAATAAATAAATAACCTTCAAGCCAAGGTATGATAGGTGGAGAACTCTTAGCACAGGAGAGATAAGGGAGAAGACAGAGAGAGAGTAAGAATAGAGATAGAGAGAGCAGAGGGGGGGGAGGGGGGGTAGCAGGCTTACCGGTTCCCCCAGTGTCCTGGGACTACCTCCTCCTTCAGTCTAACGTTGCCCAGCAGAAACAGAGGGAACAACAGAATTACACACACCTCCCAGCCCAGACCCTTCACAAACTACCTCACATACCCTAGAACTGTACATCTGGCTGGAACTATAAAAGCAACCCGTGACTGATTTGGGACACTTTTTTTTTTTTCCCAACTTGAAAAAAAAGTCCAAGTTATGAAAACACTGTGTTTTAAAAAATGGCAAACAAACAAACAAGCAGGCAGACCACAGACTGAAGAAAAGAAGTAGATGTAGCTCCTGTGACTTCAACTTGTATCTACAGCCTCAAACATTTTGGAAGTGGACATTGATTTCTTTGGAGTAACATGTGACTTTATAGTCATTATAATCAATTTGACTCTTCATGGGACCATCATGTAGAGAAATAAACATCAAACTGTGTTGAAAAAGAACAGATATGAATGTTTGAGAAGATAAACTCATTAGGAAAATGTACACTGAGGTATCAAATCAACTGAGAAGAAGGCCAGTCCCCTGCCTGGATCATTACTGTTTGACTCCATTTTTAAGACTTTACTTTAGTAATACCACATCGACTTTACTTTTAGAATGAAGAGGCTACATCCACTTCTTATATACAGTCTGAGGCAGACACATTGTTGCCCAGAAACACTTGTTTGGAAGCTGCAAAGACACAAAACGACGAACTGAGTTCCTATAAAATATATCCTAAACCTACTAATGCAATCCCTCTCCTTCTCCCTTCTGTTTAAAAAACTGTAGAGAACCAAACTGATAGCATGAGAACCGTCTGAAAGCAAGACATGGCAATGTCTGGATGAATGACTCAGAACAATGAAAATCAGACTGATAGATGGTAACATGAAACTTACCATTATCTGTCTGGACTGACTGGTTTTGAAATGTTTCGCTACAGACACGCTGTCACAGCCACCCACTTAAACAGCATGTACCGTACAAAGCCCCCTGCTTCTCCACTCTCTATGCAGGATACAATAACCATGCAGCAGCGACACAAAGCACAAGCACGTTCTGATTCAAGATGAAAACAAAAGACCAATTGAGAGCTGATGAAGAGGGATGGACTCTGTGTTGTTTGTTTCCATTAGAGCTGTTCCGATACTGATTCCAGTTTCAGGAATGCCTGCGGCCTTAAAGTATGCTGTTGAAAAGTCAGTGCACCAATCCGATACAAGAATTTTTTTGCCCCCCAAAAACCTTCCTGTTTCCTCATCTGTAACATAGTGGCTTACACAGCAATAAAAAAAAAAACTGCCACTGACAACTAGTGTTTGAGAGCAGAAAAGAGAAACACGGCTCTTTTAGCAAAGAGAGTAATGTTAGTCACTGCTAGCTTAAATTCAAGAATCTGAATCACACATTTTAATAAGGGCTGTCACACAAAATTGTTGCAATCATGCATTTTTAATTGCACGTCAGAAATGTATTTCTTTCACATTTAAATGTTTTTATTTGTTAGGCTTTCATTTAGAATTTTTGTAATGTCTTATGTTGAGACTACTTTACTTTGTTTGAATTCAAACATGCTTTTATTTTGAAATTAGGAAAAACCTTTCTGACAGATAGAAGGTCACGACATTAACTTAACTACAGACAAGGCAACTCATTACAGATCGAAAAAAAAAATGAAAACAGCAAACAGGAACGGTGAAAAGGTGTTGATGTCATAAGGTGGATTTTACTTTTGACTCATCAACTGGGCAGTTTAGGAGTTTTTCTTTTTTCAGTGAAATGAGTCATTCAAAAATTCAGCTGAATCTTTGAATGAGGCTCATCCACTGTGTTGCTTAAAGGGACCAAAGAGCATGTGATTTAAAGAAAACTAATCATTTATTTCAGACCTTTATTAATAGTGACAGCCCTAATTCTAATGACTGGTGTCAATTTTAAAGTTAGGTTACCTTAAATGGTAGAAAAACTCAAAATCAAAGGGTTCAAATAAAGACTGTTTAGTGGGACACAGGACATCAGGAGCTGTGTGCCAAGCTACTGCTAACATTAGCATAGACTCTACATAGGTAATCACTTAAGTTAAGGTGGGGATGTGATTTCATTGTGCCGAGCCAGGTCATACAGCGGTATGTCCAATAATACAAAATAAAAATTCATATTTTTTTTAACGCACTGTTAGAGGGGGAGGGGCTCTGTAACAGACTTCACCAGTCGAAGAATCTGTCAAGTCTGCGTATCTGGATTGGTATTATGAAGGAAAGTGGTATCAGAACATCTCTAGTTTCAGGTGATGTGTCATCACGTGGGTTGATCTGGTTTGATTCTGTTTGTGTACACACCCAGTACTGCAGAGCTGTCCGCTGCATGACTCAAGATGCTCATGATTGACCTTGACAATACAGGACGAGTTTTAGAATACACATATTCAGCAATAAAAATGCAATCCAATGTCAACTTCCTGCCCAGTGAGCCAGAGGAGCTAACATTAGCATGAGTCAGACATGTTACAGTAATAGTGACGTCATATGTCAGGAATATTTAGATTAGGGGCAAAGTCATGTTGCACATTGAGTCACATTATCACATGAATTAATAAAATGCTGATGGAGAAGTCAGAGGCGTATACTCTCATTGCTCACCCTCGCTGTGCTGGCTGCCTGCGCTCCCACTGTGGAAACTGTGGCATGGGTCTGAGTATCCTGGAGGGAAACTGGGGGGAGCCGAGGGAAAGGGAGGGTAGGGGAATGGCTGCCCGCCCAGGGGCCAGGGGTTGGTGGTTGGAGGAAGTGGAGCCAGAGTGTCCTGCTCAGAACCTCCGCCGCTGGACCCCTCATTTAAATTGAGTGATGCCATGTCTTATTTGAGAGAAAACAGAACCAGAGAGGGGGAAAAAAAAAAGAATTAGTACAATCCCTCTATTCATAAACAACAAAAAAAAAAACATCACACACATGGAGTTGCATTTTTGATACGCTAAGAGAAGTGGATGTACTTTGGCAGAGGTCCCCGAACGTGTAGTAGCACTGCTCGGAGAAAGTGATCTTGTTGACGGTGTGTCTCAGGTAACCGTGTTTCAGGAGACTGCTCGCATACTTCCTCGCATCCCGGCGGTCTTTGAATCCTTCTACTCGGGAGTAGAGCCAGTCCACCACGTCAGCACCTGACACAGCAAAACACACACAGACAGACACACACACACACACTCAGACACACACAGACATGTAGGCTCCATCTCTAATGTGTTGAACAGATGCTAAAAGAACTGATTATATGTGTCACAAACCCCGTTGCTGCGTGCAGACAAACAGCACAACGTTGCTGGAGTTCATCCCAAAAAGTAAGAGTGATACTTCTCAGGCGTCAAACTTTAAAGTTTGCAAACTCTAAATCTCATAAATCTGCCTCGAATAAATATTTAATGGAGTAGAAGAGCTAGTTTGACAGATTGAATAATTTAACATTTCCTGTTGCAACTATCATTTTTTTAAATTCAAATTTGCAATATTTAGCAAATAGCATCGAAAGACATCGATTTTTTCTTCTTCATTCTTCTTCATTCTTCTTCATAGGGTGTTTACTTTCACAACATGCCTTCATATTTTTACTAAGAAGCAGCTGTATAATTCCAAGCAGTGAAATACCCCACAGGTCTGAGTCATTCTCCCACGTGCATGCACTTTATTGTAATACACTACTTTTAAAAAAAAACTCCAACTCTTGTGTCTAAATGAAACAAAGTTTTGCTTTTAGTTTGAGCCCACACAGCTCAGCTCTTCTCACCAATGACCGCGTTAGAGATGGTGATCTTTAACCACATCCTGTCTCGGATCTCCAGGCCAGAATCTGGCAGCTGCATCACCTTGACGATGGTGGCCATGTCCGTTTTACTGGCAGATAGAGGCAAGTCATCAAACTCTGCGGGGAGAGAGGAGAGCGTGAGAAAACACTGACCAACACAACGTTCTATTTGTTTAAATGTCATAAGGTGATCATATTTACCACAGTAGGGATGTTTCATAGCGTGTGATGGAGGTGGAGTTTGGTGGTTTTTACCGTAGTGAGGGTAAGGTCCTGTCAGGGCGGTTGTGTGGGAGATCCAGGCTGCAGGGTCAATGGGTCTCACCGGCTCAGCTGAAGGAAGATACAGTTCAAACATTTACTGCTTCAAACGGAAAGGAGTTTGATTTGGTAAATGAAAGTTAGATATGTCTGTATGTGATTCAAACAGAAGACTGTAGTCTGTCCTACCGCGCGGGATGGTGAAGTAGCTTCGTGGAGACGGGTCCCAACATTTGGCAACAGTAAGACTAATAGGACTGTTGAGGAAGAAAGAAGGAAATGGATTTGTTGATCAGTTTGTCAAATTTACAAACAACATTTATTATTTAATACATTCATACAAGTCAGCACAAGTGACTTCAACAGACCAAAAGATAATATAAAGAAGAAGAAGATATACTTTATTAATTTAATTACATTTTACACTCTCTTGTTGAACATGCTACACACACGTAGGCTGAACGACACAAACAGGATCCTATAGACATGCAATAACAGAGAGATGTCAGAGTGAGGGGGCTGTCCACAGCGAGCGACCCTGAGCTGGTAGGGGTTCTGTGCTTTGCTCAAGGGCACCTCAGCAGTGCTCAGGAGCTGAAATGGCACCTCTCCAGCTACCAGACCAATTTTCAGACTCGGTCAGCACCATGACTTGAAACTAAACGGGGGTCCCTACAGAAAGAGCTACTGCCGCCTAAATATGGATATTAACACTAGAGACGATGAGCGTGTACATCGATATGTGTTCTAAATGATGCAGGAGAGGAGTGAAGGGAATCACCAGAAGCCAGACTGCATGGAGACAAGTCATATTTTAAACCACAGCTTTAAAATATAATAAGAGGTAATGTAGCCTCTATGAAACTAAATATGCAAGCATGATTTATCCAACTTCCTCCTGACCTCTGGTGACCTCACGGATGAAAAACTTAGCACCAGCTATTGAACTGTAAAGTATGTATCTCTCTACATTTTCATTTGCAGGTCTGCTTTAATAAACTATTTTCAAAACGGTTTACTTGGCCCCTTTAAATCAATACTTATTTCCACACAACATATTGCAGTTATGTGCTGTGTCAGGTCCCCCCCCCCCCCCAACTGAAGAAAAGGAAAGTAGCTGATACTTTCCGGGAGGGTCATGCTTCAAGCAAGGGGACAAAAGTTTAAAAAAGTGATCCAATCTGGCGACAAACATTTTTCAAGCTTTTTTCAGCAACTGTGATTTAACTGTCAGGATTTTTGTTTGTATTTAAAGTCGTGATTTTTCCACTAATCACAGTCATCAGAAGTTTGTGTTCAGTTTGTAATTACCCCGTTTTGGAAACAATCTCTCGTAGGATCCTCACGGCGTCATCATTGCTCATGTTCTCAAAGTTGACGTCATTCACCTGGTGTACAGACGACAAAAAATAAAATTATCCCATCATATCAACATACAATACACAATAATAGAATGTGTTTCATTGCTAAAATGTTTTTTTGAAGCTCAGCAGAGGCCTGAACTGTGTTTACGCACTAATCCCTGCAGGGCTCTCTAGCTTTCAGATGCCTGCAAATCCTAAGCTGCTCTGTATGCGAAACAGTCATAATAAGACATGTATGATGAATATTGGAGGAAAACAAGCTGCAGTCACACATTGTGTGTTTCACAGTTGGTGTAGCTGAACAGATGTGTTGCACAGAGATCAAAAGAAAGCCACTGACAGGAAGGAAAAGGAGAGGCTGAATGACTTCTCCAAAAGAGCACGGTGACGGATGTGAAAACGACTTTGTGGTTATTATTAGGCTCAGATAAGAAACCCACTCATTTGTCACATTAAGCTCTCACACTGTACACACAGCAGCATGACAGAAAAAAAACCCAGAAGTATCTGTTGGTGTACCTGGAGGAGCATGTCTCCAGGCTCTATCCTTCCATCAGCAGCCACAGCTCCGCCTTTCATGATGGAGCCGATGTAAATACCACCATCTCCCCGGTCATTACTCTGACCGACAATACTGATCCCCAAAAAGTTGTATTTTTCTGTCAGGGAGAAAACAGGGAAGAAGTATGAGAACTTGATCAGGTCTGAGAAGCATTCTTATCATCACATGTACTTTCAGACTCTAATATCTAAATCCATGGTAAGTGAAAGTAGAGTGAGCTATATCTGTGAACTCAAACGGCTGAATTTTCCACCCTGAAATTAGTTTTTCCTGTCAGCCCTCAAGTAAAAATAAAAATGAAGTCAAGGCGAGCTGATATGTGAACACAGAAGGAAATATTAAATAAATATTGAGGAAGCAAGCAAGTTTAAGAACGTTTATATCAGGCAACTGACCACAACTGGTGCAATCTTAGTGGACGTAGTGAAACTGCTTCTTTATGATTTCTCCTGAGCAAACACAACGCCGACAGGGAAAACTTCACACTGTGAGGTGTGCGTGGGTTTTCTTTTTCTTTACATTTTCAGGAGTGCATGTGTGAAAGAAGCTTTAGTGTCCGGTTTACCCATGTTGAGTGTGACAGTGATGATGTTGAGGCTCATGGTGGAGTCTGTGATACTGCTGAAGGATGACGACTGCAAAGGCAAGAGAAGAATACAATAATAATTAAAGTGGCATAAAGTCTATATCATGCAGTCCTCCCATCAGTTTCTATTTCCAGAGTCAATTTCAATTCAAGCAGAGACATTGATGTGTCTTATAGATGCTCACCCGGTCTATTTTAGCCACTTTGTGCCTCCGTCGGCGGCGTTTGTGTCTGCGCATGAGCTGTGAGGAAGAACTCTGTTCTGTGGAGCTACTGAGCCTGAAACACACAAAGAGAGAGCCGTAAAGAAAGGAGGAATACAGAGCGGTTGAAGGATGAGAGGGGAAGAGCAGAGTAAAGGAATTTTTTCCTTTTTCTGTAGACAAAAGACAACACCCTGGAAAAATACAAACGCACTTGACATTAAAATAAATCAAATAGATTAACTCCTTGCAATCAGACATTTAGATTGCTCTTCAGCCTATTTTCTGTAGCATGGATAGCTGTGAGTTGCTGCATGGGCCATGGATGAAGTTGACATAGCACCAGCAAAATGACTGGCATTTTACTGAATATGACTCACTGTGGTAGCTGTTTTGATTTACATCTAGTCACAGCTGGAAGTTCTGGTGAATCAGCCAACAGCTAGCTGTGTTACGTAATTGTTGATTAAAAAATATTAATCTGTAACTAACCAAGTAATTTATCATGCAAAACGTCAGTGACCCTGCTTATTTCATCTTAACATATATGTGTGAGAATGATGAGGATAAATAAATAAATAGAGGAGTTATGAAGCTAACAATGATGGTTGCAAATTTGGAAATTCTGACTACTTAACTTTCAATCAATCTAAAAAAAGGCAAAGAAGTAGAAGTGGAGGTAAAGGTGAAGCCTGCTGGGCTACATCCCTAATCATGCACATTAGTTACTTTAAGGCTAAATGAAATCAAAACGGGTGAGTTAAAAACAAAAGTGCCCACCCAGTGTGTAAGTGAGCAATAGCACATTTTAATAATGGATCTAATTCTAAGTAATGGATTCTGTGGTTTATACAGTCAGCCTCAAGTGGACAATCTGGGAATTGCAGTTTTTTTTTGCACTTCTGCATTTGCTTTATTTTTCAAATCAGAGGTTGCACATTAAACTGTGCACTAATTATAATGAAACAGCATTTCTTTTGAATGAATACCTCACACATCTCACAAAACAAAACAAACATACATGAGATTTACGACAGGGTAAACTACACTTTGATGTGAGGTATGAATGGTACCTGCTTGCATCTTCATCTTCCTCACTGTCAACAAATGAGCTTGACTCCAGCTCGCTGCTCATTACTGAGGCACTGTCGTAACCCATGGCCGAGTCTCTGGCAGTGCGCTCTGATTTGGAGTGACCGTTGATGCGAGGGACTGTAGAGGGAGAGAGAGAGAGAGAGAGAGAAAGAGAGAGAGCAGCAGTGAGTCAGACAGGATGTCACACTGATCATCGTGGGGTCAGATCAGAATGAGAGGGAACGACCGGGAGGGGAGGAGAGTCAGAGTTAGTGAGAGCGGCAGAACTAGAAAAATATTGTCGTTATGGGAGAAACAGAGAAGACATTAAAGACGAGCTATTTTCTGACATCTCTGGGGGAGAATAGAGATGTATTGGACGCATGAATTTAAAAGCAGATATCATGTTTCAGTCAGACCTTACAGGAGAGCGAATGGAAAAATAAATACATCAACAATTATTCAATTTGGCTCACACTTTGAGCTTGTTAGTTTAAATATCTACATTTCTAAATCAACATTCATGTCTGAAGAACATTAAACTGAACTCACTCAGGTGATCAAGGCATGCTGTATGTGTCTGATGCAGCAGACCGTTTTAATAACCCACTTCCATTGCAATATGAATGTGACATCAAAAAGAAAGTAAATATGTGATTGGCTGGTCAGTTTCTAATCAGTAATCTGATTTGATTGGTCAAATTGGTTTGGTTTAAGACGCTGAACGTGAGATTTGTCATCAGACGAATTTTAACATTGAACAAGAAAAATTAAAAACTTTTGTTCCCTATAAAAACACTACAAAATGTTTTTAATACCACTTTGGTAAATACATCTAAGCCACGATGGTAAACAATCATCTTAAATTAGCACAACCTCAAATTCCTAGTTTCTTCTGCATTCAGACATAAGGTTGCACATACAGGATGCACTGAATAAAATAATGTGTTGAGTGAAAGTTACATTTTTATGTCTGTTATGTTTATTTCTGAGTTGATCCAACACTTTCCTTTTTTTCAGTGTATTAATAAATGTACAAAGCTGATCATTATTAAAGGGGATTTATTTTTGTTAAAGTGCCTTACTGTACAAAGTCTACATCATTTCCCAGGTGTACAACCGCTCAGTCTGTTTCCATACGTACACTGCCAGAGAGGCGGAGCTGTCTCAGGGTGACAGCGGATTGGCTGGAAAGGTCTCAAAAGGCGAAGAGGGCGTGGCAGCCAGCGCATTTGCCGGGAGCGAGTAAAACATTCCAGCAATGTGGTCGTTCCCATCACTAGCTCCGCCCACTGGGTGCTTTTATGAAAGCTGAGCTGCGGCACATAGGCACTCAATCAGCAGAGGGACCTGACATCCACAGTCACTCAGACATATTTGCTCCCACGCTCAAGTGACGGCCACGCCAGAGGAAACAAAAAAAAAACCACAATCATGCAGGTTATCCAAGCCAAATCGAAACGTGTGTGTTTATGCTCTGCTCCGTCTGTGCTAAAGCCAGCTTGAGCTCCAGACGCTCTTTGCACATGGGCTGGCTGCTGACAGGCTTCACAGCTTATCTACAATGGAGGCAGTGACAGAAACAGGGCATAAGAAGTCTGTGCTCAGACACAAAGAAGAAACCAGATGATCACGTTTTCACTAAATCTGTGAAACTTTGGTCAGAATGTTACCATGACCTCAGAAGTTGTAAATTCTGAAGCATAAAGCTCGCTATAAGAGATCATCTATTTCTAAATATTTATGAACTATTATATAAAAATAAAAAAAATCACATGTCAATGAAGTCAATGAGTAGCTATACAGATCACTTCTTTCTCTTCTGGTGGGTCAAAATCACCACATCAAACCTCACAACAGGTCAAAATGTCACTCAAAAACTTCTCATATTTACTCAGAATGACAGAAACAAAAACACCTGCACAAAGCTAACCACACTATCCAATCACACGTTTCATATAAGTATTGAAAATGTCATAAATCATCAAAAGAACAAATCTCTCACCGCAGCCCACAGAGTGTCCTCGTCCAAACGCACAGACAATCTGAACTGAGAGTCAGGACAAAGTATCGTCCTCCTCCCTCCCTCCCTGCCTGCCTCTCTCCCACCGCACGCAACTATAGAATGACTGCTAATCTGTCTCCAACCAATCAGATGAGTGAGTTCTCCGAAAACAGAGGATTTGAGCTGATGTTGCTGCTGTGTGTGCTCTCACATCTCTGCCTCAGGTGAAAGCAGCATCAGGTTATTAAAAGCCCGAATGCTTTTAGCGGCTTTCCATCACCCAAATAAAGACATGTTGAAGTCACTTCTGATGATTTTCAGCAGATGTTTTTTTAGTGCTTTGTGTTAATACTTTAATACAAGCATAAGTGCTTTGGCTTAACCGTGTCATCTTTGGCCCCGACCTTGGACAGCATCACGCTTAATGCAATGACGTTTATTTATCTCCCTTTTATAGGACGTATTAAATGTTCTCTGATTCAGCAGGATATGAAAAAGGTTCTATTAACTGAAAAATCTACATCATTCAATCAAAGTTTATGGTAACTTTTTTTCATGTAGATACTGGCACCGCTTCTGACGTTATCACACTGATCAACAACTTTCTCTTTGATGCATCAGACTGATTTGATGACCCACAATTCATTGCAATACAAAAGAAAACTTTACAATAACTTTTTTTTTTTAATTAAATGATTGGCTGGCTAGTTTGTCAAAAAAAAAATCACATTTGACTGGTTAAATAAAAAAAAAGGGTCAATGTTTGCGGTGTGATTTTGGAAGCATTGGTGATGTTGGAAATCTTGTCTCACAAAAAGGTTTAGCTGCAGAACACCTCAGGGCCTTAAATGAAACCATATCCTATAATTCCATCCTACACCTGTTTGCCCTCCTCAAAATGTTGCTTCATTCAACCTTTCACTCTCAAACGCTGCAGAACACACAGAAAAAAAGAAGGGATCTGTTTCCCCACTTAAAGTCGTCTCTGTAAAACAGGCAGCATTCACACTGAGACGAATCACTCGGAGCGTGTGTGTATAAGGTGACAGGGGGAATTCCTGCTGCTGATGCTGCAGGCTGCGAGGTAAAGAGGCGGGGCTTCTGGTGGCCCCTCCTTTATTATGTCTATACATCCGGATCATGTGACTGAGAGAGAGCAACCACTGAGCCAACACAGGCAAATTGAATGACGTTGTACGAGTTCCTTTATGAGCCATGAAACTGCTGGTAAACCAAAAGTGATCCACCCAGTTCCCCCAATGGTTTCACTTAATTAGAGCTAACAAGCTACAAGGGGGGAGATATAGAGTGCACATGTGTGTGTGTGCATGTGTGTGTGTGTGTGAGAAAGAGAGAGAGAGAGAGAGAGAGAGAGAGAGGAGGAAGGGGTAGACATTATGATTCTGAGGTAATTCTGCTTCATCTGTCTCCTGTATGGTGGTTTCTTATTTTTAATGGGGAAAGTAAACACACAGGAAGATGGAGGACAGTTGTAAAGTTCATCAGGCTCGAGATATTTCCGCATCACCCACAAAACAACAGATGTGCAGTTGGCAGCAAGCAGCAGAGGATCTGACATGACAAGCGCTGACAATACGTCCTCGGGCAAGTCGAAAACAGAAAAGCTTCAGAAGGACGAATTAATCCATTAAAAATGATTACGTACATTATCCTGCTGGGAAACATTTGATATCTGTTTCCAGTGAGACTTTCCTTCAATCTGAAGGCGTATTTTTTTGATAGTAATTGCTAAATTAGTCTTGAGTACAGGAAAGCCAGAGACAGCTTGCTGTGAGGAGAGGACACAGGATGGAGAGACAGTGAGAGAAAGAACAGCTGGAGTTACTGTGAGTTGAAATGAAAGCAGGCAGAGAGCAGAAGTAGGATGTCTACACCATATGAGGAAAACCTGCGTGAGGGATATTATTTTATACATAATGATGACAATAAGAGGCGTGATTAAAAAAATAATAATATTGATGGCTGGATATTACCAGTGGCTTTATCTTCCTGTATGTTATACTTAGGTCAGTAAATTCTCATCCCTGCAAATAACAGTCGTGGTTTTTTTTTTCCACATCTTCATCCAACCTATTTCGCTCACTTTTCGCTTCAATTCCTCAGACATTGTGATACTTAAAACCACAAAAATCTGCTTACTGGCAGGTTTCCTAGATGCACTATCAAACCCTTTCAGAAGTTCCAAAACGCATCAGCACGACTGGTCTTCAACCCACACAGAAGAGCAACATGTTACTCCACTGTTCATCTCCCTCCACTGGCTCCCAGTTCTGCCAATGAAAGGCGTCTGATCCAACAGGCGAAGTCCTAATAAGAGTCTTCTCCTCTGTCGCCCCCCCGGTGGTGGAACGAACTTCCAAACTCAATTCGATCTGCAGAATCCCTTTGCATCTTTAAGAAAAAGCTAAAGACCCAGCTCTTTCATGAATACCAACGCACTGAATGGTATTATTGATGAAGGTGGTTTTGTTTGATAATGGTGATTTTAGGATGGCTTGCTACATCCAGACAAAATAAATTCTTCTCATTGGGCAGCAACAGCAGAAAAACACTGAGGAGGTTTTCTTCAAGAAAATATCTCAAGCATGTTTTTGCTGGTTACAGAGCACACCTTTCCTGCAGCACCAGTATACCCAGTGTGTTTGTCATGGACAGCGCAGAAACAGGATGTTGCCTGGCTTGCTCTGATATCAAAATCTGAGCCTTTAAAGTAGAGCAGCTCTTCTGCAGGAGCTCAAAGAACATCGTCCTTCTCTTACCAAAGTGATTTTTTTTTGTTTTTTTTTAGCAACTGCTGTTATCAAAAGCCCAGACAACAAAAGCAGATGTGTTTGCACTTGATAACAGCTTTTGAAAGCTTTTAAAATCAAGATCCTGACAGTTTCTTTTGCTGGTAGACTCTAAAGCTGAGGAAGAGTTTTCTTCTGATTTTCACAAAACACTCGTCTCTTCTGACAGCTTATAATCATCGGAGTGTGACCGCTGAGTGGAAAACAGCCTCTGACCATAAACCTGAGCCACACACAGGAAACAGAAGAAGGGGAAATATTGGGCAAGACAGTAAATTCCAGAAACGTTGTAATACAGTGAACTTATTCACTTTCTCGCTCTTTTGAGAGTTGGGAAAACTCGTGATTTGTGGTCTCATGTAGCTAAAGTTCAACATGTGATCCCTGAGGCTCTGTTTCTCAAGCATGTCAGCTGTCCATCCACCTTTTTTTTCTTGGTGTGAAGAGTAAGGAAGTCAAGAGTTGAGTGAAATGTAATAAGTTTGGAAATGACAGGCTAATTGCATTTTGAGGACCCATCTGTTCCTGGCTGATAATAATACTCACGCTCAGTTTCTCTGGCTCTCCTGCGTGCGCGCTCCCTCTCTCGCTCGCGGCGGTGGCTCAGGAGAGACTCGGTCCCCGTCTCGGTGTCCAGGCCATCTCTGCTGCTCACCGCATTGGCGCTGCAATACACACAATCGGAAAACTTCAGTCACTTCATCATAATGTGCAAAACACATGTCCCTCTCACTGAAACTCTATTAAACCAACTCTCCAGCCTCCTTAACTCCTCAACACAAACTCCCCGGCTACAATCTACTTCTGTCTGTTATAATATCTGTTTGCCTGCCACTCAGCCCGAGGGGAATATGCAACTCACATTGTGACTATGTTTCAAATTCAATCCCTGCAGCCAAAATAGCAGTTTCATTGTTCTGCGGTATGTGATGTGCTTTTCGCTAAGTGTCATTAATGACCAGATACCCTGAGAGGGAGCCGATCCGGACAATACTGGCATTAATGAGACCTATTGAAAGCCCAGATGGTGCCTGCAGCATGATCGGGAGAGAGACAGAGAGGGGAGGATGACAGATTGCATTAAAAAAAAAAGAAGCGAGAAGTGGTAGATCAGATCAGGTGTGCGCCGAGCAATGAGCTGGTCTGTGTACTTGAGGTCTTGGAGGAGGAGGTGGTGGAGGAGGTGGAGGGGAGGGGGGCTCTGGAGGAGCTGGAGGGCAGATTGTTATTCTGTCAGAGGGCTGGAGACGCTGTGGCCTCAGGGTGCAGGGTTAAGGGACTCACACAGCCAGCGGGCAGCAAAGAAACCTGAAGCTGGTGAGAACTCTGCTCATCAGTGTCAGGGGGTCTGTCACACACACACACACACACACACACACACACACACACACACACACACACACACACACACACACACACACACACACACACACACACACACACACACACACACACACACACACACTCTTAGACATGAGTGCAACATGTACCTCACACCTGCATAAACGATCACATGTGCATGGCTGCGCAATCAGGCGTCCGTGCATGCTGACAAGGTACACAAAAATAATCAGATTCATATTGTATAAACACAAACATCACCCTGCAGTGCTTCTAAAACGAATACCTAATGGGACATGAGAGAATTTGTTATTCTCTAAGAGGGTGCGCTTTGCCGTTTTATACAAATCCTTTCAGATTTATATATAAAAAAATGAAAGCCACTGATTGCTGTTGTGAATTCTTACCCTGTATTTTCTATAATTTCTCTATTAACTTTATTAAAAGCTTTTAAAAAAAGTGTTTTATTGTAAATTGAATCTTTTTAGTTGGCTTTATTTTCTTCTCAGTGTGTGAACTTTTTTAGTGTTGAATTGATCTTGTATGCATGTAGCTGTGGATCAAACAGAGTCAATCTGATGGCTTAATAGCAGAATTATAAAGTCACAGAGACGGATTCTGAAACAACAGAAACATGGGAAAGACAAAGAGGAAGGCGTACATTCTGATTATGACTGTGATGCATCGCATTTAATATGACTCAAAATACAAATAAAATCATCTTGAACAAAGAAAAATCTGTTTCATTTGACCGTTTACTGTGTTTTTAATTCACATTGATCGTCCACACGCTGACAGGACTCTGTGTCGGCCGTGTTCACTCAGCGGGATAAAAGTGCTCAATGAGCCATGCTTACATGCTTATGCTATGACGTGCTAATGGGTGCACCTGGGCCGGGCACAGGTCACTGCATGTGTGCAAATATGAGCGAGGATGCTTAGTTTGGATGCACGTCTATTGGCAGTGATTGCAGAGCAGAGTGATGATTGATGCGGCGCTGACTGCCTGCCTGTCAGGCTGTCGATGGCTGCTGACCGGGCGGGCGGCAGGTTTGCTGATCCGGAGGGAGATTATCTGAGGCGCTAGGCTGCAGCTGTGAACAAATGCCACCCCCTTTTCACCCCCACCAATCCCCCCCTAACACCACCACCTTCCTCTCTGCTGCCGAGCGCTGCCCCCCCCCCACTTGGGAAATGGAGATGGGTGCTTTTAATGTCCGTTAATCCGGATTACCAGGCAGAGGCACATCAGTTGTGTCCATTCTCAGCCCCAAAACACCTATTCTGTGCGCTCATCAAATAGAACCATTCACGCCAACAAACACATGCAGTGCATGAATAAAGCACAAAGACAAATGAAGTGGTAATAATATTCTCTCTATTTACACACAGAGGAACAGGGAGGAAGACTGGATTCATTTCAGAAAGAGAGGAGGTTTCGCTGTAGGGAATTCAGCACGCTGTTTCTGAGAAAGAAGGCCTCACTCAAAGAGGGTAGAGAGAAAGGGGACGTGAAGGAGGGGAGGAGGGGATATGACGTTGGGTGAGGGAGGCCTGCACAGTGTCCTTTTGATCCACAAGGTGGCGGTAGTCGTAGTGAAAGTTGACTGGGGGGGGGAACAATAAAACCATCAGGACAGCTGACAGCCAAGCAGCAGGGAGCGGCCCATAGAGGGCAAAAGAGAGCTGAGATGTCAAACCCTGGATAAAGAGATACACTCAGACATGACAGATTGCATGTTCTCAATATAGAGCCTCGGCCATATTGCTCTCACGCTGTAATGGCAACAACCCTTGCCCCCACTGCCCCCGGCACTTACAGCTATATTTAGCACGGGACTCCTCGGCTACTGCAGTCAGATCTCTCATTTGCCAGTTTAAATTTAAGTCTTGGCTCAGGTAAACGGCTATATAAAATACATTTCTGACCTTTGAATGTGTGCCTCGTGTGCCTTTATTATTCGAGTATGGATGAATGCTCTTAGTGACCGTGCACAATGGGAGCCTCACTGAGTGCCAGTATTCGCCTGAAGACGTTTGTGCCGTGAAGGCTATTTCAAGAATCAGCGGCAGTGGCGGCGTACGCATCATGTTTACATAGACAAGCGGACTAACGCCTTACTCCAAGGTTGAGTGGGCGGGAGGGAACATACACACAAGTGGGAAAACTACTCGTACCCATACATGTTGGAGCTTTAGCACATACTTCATGGCTTATTCACACTCAGGCGTATGGACCACCTACACCTCCCGCATGACAGATCTTTCCACTTTCTGATTCGCGCATAGGTGAAATAAAGAGGTCACACAGGATTGTGTGCATGAATACATCTGCCTACACGTGTGTGACATTGTGCATACATGACAGGCAGTAATCAGCCCACTTACTGGAAAGAGGGGGGGCGGGAGTCTCCGATGCCCCCTGTTCTCTCGAGGGGAGGGGGCAGCTCTGGGTGGCTCTCTGTGCACTGAGATCCTCCATCAGAGTGCGCGCTCTCTGCCAGGACCAACTGCGAGGAGGAAAAGATGGATAAAAGCAAAGCTTCAGCGTTATTCAGCTCTGAGAGGAACACACATTAGGATAAATGACTTTGTTGAATGACACACAGGTCCCACTGCGAGGAGAGAGAGGATCAAAAACAACATGAGCAGACGAACACAAACAGGGATGAAGGCACCAGAGACAAACATATCCTGTGTACAAATTCACATGGGGGACGCTACAAAATAAGATGCTAAAAAGGACTACAGATGACTTGTGGCTGCGCATAAACAACTTGAGAAACACAGCGAGCAGGCATAGAAACTTTCAACACCACTCTGAGGAACAAAGGATGATGTACAATGACCTGCAGATACCAACGCTCTCCTTTCATCTCACTCATTTGGCAACAGTAATGAACTTTCAACCAGGCAGCCGCGCAGAATAACGACTGTATGGGCTGTGATTGTTCTCATGCTGGCTTTTGGAATCACTGGATGTCACTTTGGTGTCACATGTATTTTATTTTGTTCCATTTCAAAGACTTCAAGTACTTTTTTTCACTTCATTTTCCATCACCCTCTGTGTCAGTGTGCTGCGTCTAGTGTGTGTGCACAGACTGTCAGTGTGAAACACGAGCAGGTTTCACTCTAGTCCTTGATGTCCAGTGAAACGAAAAAAATGGCTTTTTAGATAAGAAGTACTAACTGACTGAGTTTGACAATATTATGAAGGAAAAATACCTCCTATGTTTAGGAATACAGTATTCTGACTTCTCTCCACACACTGACTCACGATGAGTCAGTCACAAGAGCCTTTTCTCCAACATGTTAGGGCGCCATATTACATGTGGATGGTTGATTGGTTTTATTTATTGATGCTGCTACGGAGGCAGTTTGAGTCAGATACAAATTTCCCAAAGGGGAAAAGTAAGCAGAGAGTATCGTCTCTTCCTGTCCTGTACCGTCTCGGACTGTCTCACATCCTCTCGCACCTTCTTGTATCGTCTCATCAAAACCCGCACCGTCTCGCCTTAACCCGCACCATAAGTATTTTCAATAAAATATATCTTAAAAGTCTGAATTTACTGTTATAAATAAGAAACATAATCTTTATGTACACAAGCACTTCCCTCTCACTCAGCATGCGGACAGTCTACCTGTCAAATGGAGGCCTCAGTGTAATGGTTGTGCTTTCACACCATTTGGATTCAGACAGATGAAGCTCAAGCTGGCTCTCTGCTACGCTCACATTAACTGGCTTCAACAGTAAATGGTGAAAAAAAAATGCTTTATGGATTTATTTTGGATTCAGGGAGTTCATTTTTCAAATACAGGTAGTTACTGTGTAAGGCATGAAGAATAACATACTTCATTTAGTTTTTATGAACTGTTCTTCATAGTGAACAATAAAATCATACATACCTAACCCTGACTCTATTTGTCTCGTATTGTGCAGGCCTATCTTTTTGTATTTGCTGCACAGCTATAGACTGCTGCAGGGTTAGTAAATAATTGATTAAACATTTAATTTCATAACACTGCTTCAGAAACTTTTTTTTTGTCTAAATCTGATGAAGACTTCTATTGTCAGACTGAGCCAAGATATAACTCGTCAGATCAGAGCATCCTTACGCACTTTACATTTAAGTTCAAAGTGGCAAAAAATAAAATAAAATCCAAAAAAACTGATTATTGATGAAGTTTCTCTAGATTTCTGTATCGTGAAAGTTCAAATACCGTTTAAGAACTATGATAATTAGAAGTCCACTCAATCAGTGATTTAACCTGTGCAAAGAGAACCCTGAGACTTAGTCAATTATTTTTTTCAATTTAAAAGTTTTTCTAAAGTCTCTCTGCAAAACAGAGCAAACATTTAAAGTACCTTCACATTTATGTTTGTTTTTGAATGTGCAAAATAAAAAGTAGATATGGATCTTAATTACCATATTTAAACTCCTTTCAGTAATATGCAGTCATGCTGCAGCTGACATTTGTATAAAACTGCTCAGCCTTTCCAGTAGTCAGAAAAAAAACAATGTCAAAGCAACTTCAGAGCTCAAAGAAATGGTGGTTAGTTTTTAATTCAAAGTTGTTCCAATATCAATACTTTTCAATCATAAGCAGTATTCAAAGCAGGAAACACACCTGGAATGAGACAACGTCTGTTTATTTAGTTATAGGTCACTGACACATAGTTATGATTTGAAAATGAAAACACTTTTTGAACAAACTAAATGTAAATGTTGAAACACTTTCATCAGCATATTTATGAATCACCTAAAGTAAAGGAGGTGCAACAAGCAAAATGTCTTCATGAATTCAATAGGTTTAAAGAAAGTTTGTCAACCACGCTCAGTGTTTGGAGTTATTCTCTTCAATTCATTCTTTCATTATAATTCAACGTGAAAATGTGTAAACCTTCATAAAGAAAATGTGGCGTTCATTTTTTTGGTACTCTGTGTTTCTTTTCTACGTCTAATTGCTTTAAACTTGAACATAGTTGACACAGATGGTACAGCTTACAGAGAAACGTGAAGTTAGATTTAATAAATGCTGCACGGTGCAATGAATCGCAATTTATTGTTATCGTAATATCAGTATTTAAAATAAAATATATGACCAAAGTTTATATATAAACACTCCCCGTGCCTGTAACCTAGTGGTTAGTGCGTGCACCCCATGTATGGAGGCTATAGCGGATGACCCGGGTTCAAATCCGACCTCTGGCTCCTTTCCTGCATGTCACTCTCCTCTCTCTCTCTGATGTCTGACTCTATCCACTGTCTCATGTTTAAATAAAGGGATAAAAATAAAAGATATATATATATATATATATATATACACACACATACTGTATATATAAACATAATGCAATCGTATGAATGTATCACATTTAATATTAATCTTTCCTTTTGCCAAAAAGCAATCCTTTTCACTCATTATGTGTAAAGTTTAAATTACAGACCTGTGTTTAGGTCATCCTTTCACACTATTATGATACATGAAGCTCAAGCTATCTATCTGCTACCTTCAGATTATTTGGCTTCAAACAAACAAACAAAAACAAAGCTTTTGGGATTAATTTGGATTCAGCAGGGACACATTCATGAAGATGAAGATATACACACTGTGAGTTAAAGATAATACACACTCTGCAATGTTTTGTTCTTTTATCACACTGTGTATTGTTTCCACAATATTAAACAATGTTATGTCACATAGAACATTTTGCTCTTGTCCTGCTGGCAGCTTTTTTAATGAAATTTAATTAAAAATAGGTTTAAAAATGTGTAAAGTGGTGATTGAGCAGCAGTGGGATACAGTCAGGCCACTTCAGGTACTCTGAATTCAGCAACATCGAGCAAGACGGTCGTTAACAACTATGAAGCCACCGCTGTGTCACTAATTCTGACCTCTGACCTCCCTGTGGAGGAACAAGTAATCCACTAACTTCCCCTCAGAGATCAATAAAGTGCCAATTTAATTTGCTGGACTGTTAAAAGAAACGGACAAAACGGCAATGAGTAGATTAAACCTGCCCGAACTAACTTAACCATCTCTGCTCTTCATTCATGTTTAAAGGTAGAGCGGAGCATTAACCTGTGAGTTCTGCTCAGAATATATTATGATAGAGCAATGATTAAAATGTGTATCTCCTTTAACATGACAGATTGATTACATGTTTAGCATGTTTAATGTCCCTGAAGGGAGACCTGGGCTCTCTGTGCTGTTTATCTTCCATAATTACAAATCACTCCAAACCTTAAGTGGTCAATAGAGTAATGGGCCGTTCTTGTTTGAGTAGCCACTTGTGATTGTACAGTAGCCAAGTTTCATATCTAATGCAATCACTCACTCCTATATGATACAGCCGAATAGAGAGATCAAGGTGAAGTGTGTTTGAAACCTGTGTGGAGGCGTTGCATGGTTTCATTTACATGATCTACGACTGCTCCACATATCTTTGGTTAGAGAGCCGAGGCTGCACAGCTCAGGCGGGCAGCCAGGGGAGAGACAGAGAGGGGTGGGAGTGTGTGTGTTTGTGTGTGTGTGTGTGTGGGGGGGGGGAGTACACCATTCATCTCACTTACCCAGGACACTACTCTCCCGTTGAAGCACGGCAGCTTGGCGTTGTCATCGGAAATCTCTTCCTTGACGACCCTTGGGAGCAAGCAGACAGATACAGTCAGGCTAACCGGCCAGGACAAGGACACAGAGTCAGCTGAAGAGCTCGACAACACGGTGCAGCCTGAAGACACGTCACTCCTGCTGCCAAGCTGACACACACTGACACACTTTCTCAGACACTTTTTACACCTGGCTCTCAACCAGGTTTCATGGCACAGGTTAAGCGAGAGTGGCAGTGATGACACCCTCAGTGTCTATCAGGGATTTATTGACTTCCTGTCTGTCAGGTTAACACTAAACACTACAATGTGATAAGGGCTGTTTAACCCACAGAGAACAGGGCCATAAATCAGTTATGATGAGATATGAGCTTCAGAAAGGTAGAATATACTGCATGATGAATATAATATCACTGTACAGTAGGTAGATATTTATCACTGCTCAAAGGATCAAAGCCTACCCAACACCTCTAGGACAATAAAGCACTGTAAAATGATTATAGCGTGATATAAAAATGTCTGCATAAAGCCAAGGTGACTTGTTTTTATGAACGCAGCAGATAACATTCAGGAAAACTCACAACGAGTGAGCAGTTTGGGGCGATGGCGTTTATATCATGCGACTTTGTGCATGTAATGAAGATGCTCGACACTCTTTTCTGCTCACCAGTGTCATGTCCTTTATCACTCATGTGTTGATACTCCAAATACATGTAGCATCCATATGAAGGCAAACAGAAAAAAATGATGGACTCTGTCTGTTCCGACAACTTTGAAATAAAAACACTAACTAAGAACTTGACAGTTGTTAACCACTTCATTAACCATCTTAGTTCTCTTTCGTTTCAGGACTATCTCTCCACCCCGTTACATTACATATACGGGATGTGATCTCTTGCTCGTCATAGTCCGTGGATATTTCTTTATGGCACACCGGCTTACCCGGTACCGCCCCACAGCTCATCTGTAAAGCACCTGCGCTGGCGTGCTTTCAATGATAGTTTGATCGGAACGTGTCTCTGAGCGGCCAAGAGGCTGGAGAGATAGTCTCCTCACTCAGAGAACCAAGGTTACGATGTAACCCTACGATTTCTGAAGTGTATTTTTTCACAGGTCTTGCCTCCTGAGACGGCCTCTACCCTCCCGTCCCACAGGGAGAACCTCCTTCTGTTAGGGACATGTGTCGTATAGGCAACTTGGGAAAATTTCTGGGGCAGGCTGGCCTCAATTTTTTAAGAATTATTCAGGAGTTCATGTATGAAAACAGCTTTATTGACATATGCGTGAAAACTCCATAATATGGCTGCGGACTGGACCTTTCTGTATTTTAAAAGTAAACAAATCAACCCTTAAAACTTATTCTAAATCTTACTGGTAGCCATTGCAAGTGTGCTAAAACATGGGTATTATGGTTTGTATAGACTAGAGCCATTAAATATTCTGGCTGGGTAAGAAAGATGGATAGATGTTTCTATGTGAGTTGAGCTGTGACAACAGGGTGTCAAGGCCCAGTAGCGTGTATTAATAGAGAGATCGAGTGTGTGAACTTCCCTCAGTGTGTTCGTCTTCGGCTGTAAATTCCCAACAAAAATACCTCCCAGTTAACTTTCGACCTGCTGGGACACAGTTCCACAGAAAGCAGTCACCACACCTGCTCGGCTTGTGTCACATAGATCAGGCCTGCAGCTAGCTGACGGCTACAGGAGGAGCCTGAAAACACCTCACACACACACGCACACACGCACACACACACACACACACAGGGTTAAGACACCCTGATGCATTTAGCTGTTTCCATTTGAACTCTCTGCTCATTGTTTGTTTTTGTTTTTCTACTCCCAGGATTGGTACATGCAAGAATTTCTGAGGCTTGGTGCAGGTCTCACATTAGCTGCTCGGCTTTGAACGATTAAAAAGGGAGAGGCGAGACTTAATGGCAGCAGGGAAGCCTAAGAAGATTTCATGCAGGGGTGTATCTGTCTGCCTTTTTCCCCCCTAACTTCTTGTTTGCCAGAACTTTCCTCCTACTGAAATGATTAGCCAAGCTGGTGGTGTTTGTGTGTGCTTTTGCTCTTGCTGCTGTGGGAGCTGTAATGCATGCTGGGAGTGGTGGACGGAGATAACGCAGCCTTGTGTGGCTGGACGGCCACAGAGTCCGCTGCTGCTTCTGCCGCTGTGGCCTGCTCCTCCACCTCCTTCTCCTCCTCAGGGAGGAAAAGGGAGGGAAGGAGGCGAGGGGGGCGGCTCTGCCGGGTGCTTGTTAGGTAGGAAGTGTTTATATCCTTTTGCACGGGCTGCACGACCAGCTGTAAGGTGAATTATGAGGATGTGGGAGTGGCCCATCCCACAAAAAAAATACCAGCAGTGCTTCGTCTTGCTAATGTTCCCCCAGGAGTGAGGTCGCTGCTTTCGCAAATTTTGCCTTTATTATTGCGGTTTTTAAAAGAACAAGCATGCGAAATAAATCCTTTGAACAAATTTCTGTCTGTTGAAAAGAGCTGAAAACGAAAACATAATTCCGATCATAACAGATGACGTCTTCATCATGCAGTGAAACACCCGTGGTTTGCATTCTTTTCAGCTTCCATCTGATATCAGGAGCAGTGTAAAGTCAACCCTGAACGCACAAACACTCACACACTCATGATCCTTGTTTAGAGGAGCATGTGTCTAGCGTGGGCCACTGTCACAGATCTGACTTCTTAGAGCAGACAGCTTAAATAGGTCTTAACAGATTTCACAGGATAATGACACAAGATTTACCCTGGCGATCGCTGAATATTCCACCGCTGGAGATATTTGCGTAGCTGGGCAAAGATTAGACGCGTTTGTTTCACTTTGAGAGGCAGAGGAGGGCTGGCTAGTGAGAGCCTACCAGAAACCAGGAGGCAGAAGCAGACATCTAAACACCAGACAGCATGCAGTCCCAAGGCCCTTTGGTGGGCGGATGCTCAATGGTACTATAAAAGGGGAAGCTAAATATTTGTAGGCAAATAAGATTAGAAATAGAGAGACTTCAAAATGACACCAAGTCTGACTTAGTCACCGGCTGAGTTTGACTTTGAACCACCTAAAAGCTGTTAAAAATAACATGCACATTGCTGATTTCACAAGTTGGGCTGGAACTTACAAAAAAAATATCAACAGGGGTGTGAAAAAAAATGACTTCTCATCTGGCATCCTGACTTGTGGGATACAATGATCTAATACCTGTTTGTTTTAAGATTTATTTTAGGGTTTTTATGCTTTAATTTTAGAGACAGGACAGTGGATAGAGTCTGAAACCGGGAAGAGAGAGAGAGAGAGAGAGAGAGAGAGAGAGAGAGAGAGAGAGAGAGAGAAGAGTGGGGAGTACAGAGACTACAGTCCTCAATGCAGGTTCAATCCTGATCCTGATTGGTTAATGCCATTCCCCACCCCATCACCTGTCTCTCTAAATCTGTCCAAATAAAGACGCAAAAGCCCCCAAAAGAAAAATCTGAAGAAAATATGTGAAGACATGAAAGATGATAAAACTGACCACAAATTACAGTGAATCCTGCACTTTACCTTTCAGGGGAAATGTATATTCTTTAGTTAATCAGATATTTGTGTGTATGATTCTGTGATTGTCTCGCAATATAATTATCCAAGAACGGCTGAATCAGGATATCATCATTCTCATGGGTCATCATATCTTGAGTTAACCTGTGATTCCCCTTTCTCATTATATCATGAAGGTTTAGGGCCATAGGGTGATTTACCACTCGTAATATCACAATCTGAACATTATTAAATGTTGACCTTAGAAGTAAGAGTGTTTTTTTGTAGATGCTAAGACTCAAGACAAGATGTATAACCTTCAAAAAAGCCAGTCAAAATCCTTAAACAAACAAAAAAAAAAAAACGTGATGAGGAGGGGAAGAATTTGTTCAAAATCTGCAGATTTTAGTCCTACAGGGGCTTAGCATCACTTCCTGAGCAGGACAAAGATTCCCCTAAACACCCCCCCCCTTCTTCTTTCTAAGGCAAAAACAAGACTGTTTCTTTCAGACCTGCAGCTTGGCTCGCTCCCTCAGCTCCACAGAGCCTCTGTGACTTGCATTACAGTGAAGTCTCAAACCAGCTCACCACCAGTGGCAAACGACAAAGCGCCCGTATCATCACCTTGAAGTCTCCGAGAAAGCCAAGTGGGTTTGCCTCAAAACAACCCCGTCTCAATTAGCATCCTGTCTTATGAATATGGATGGCTATTAAGGAAAAGGGGAAAACAACTGAGGTATGAAATGTGCACAAAGAAACCCTGATTGTTTGATTTGCTGTGTGACAGAAATGCCTCAGTCCGCCGTTACATATAGCCCATATTATTCTGGAAAGTGCAGAGAGCTGGGTCGTTTCGAGGGCGAGGCGTTTATCAAATTGGTGTGGCTGTTGCCTAGAGAGCTGATACTACGAGCACGAATGTAGCTCAGCAATCCCCTAAGAAAATGGCTGGTTTTTCTGGCACACCAGGGGGTCTACTACAGAGGACCTTGCGCTGACTGCTCATTTACATTTCAAACACTGTCTATAACTGCAAGGGATTTGATGTTTTCCCTCTCTGCTCAGCAGTCTTATTCCTCCCCAGCTAATTCTCCAGCAGCCATACTGCCTGTGTGGATGCAGCAGAGCCAGCATGGCTACCACAAAGCGCTGCTATCCTCTTTGCCTTTGACTGGGTTTTGCTTCCATACTGTGCCAGTACCATACGGTGCTCACAGAGCCCCAAACATTCAACCTTAACTCAAAGGCTGGCATTGCTGATAGAGACGCCTTTATATTCTGTTTATAATAGCTTTTAAAGTCTTTTTACAATGTCCAAATTCACATTATAATTTAAAGGCTCTGTTGATGCACATGAAGGAGCAGGTTGGCCTACTGTAGCTGTGTTCTCAGCCACGTCTCCATGTGGAGAAGGCAAACACACTTTGTTTGTTTCCATAATCTGCTTGTCGATCACCTGAGGCCCTGCGAGCAGCCCGGCCTGCACTGCAACAGAGGCAGGAAGCCTGGGCTGGGGACAAAGCGGCGCACCGAGCCTCACAAGCCACCAGGAAGAGCAAGTTTCCCCCCACAAGGTCAGGCTGCAGTGGAAATGTATGACGCTTGGCTCTGAAGACAAGGCCCGCCGCTGCATTTCCTCCAATCATGCTTGCGGCTTCACTGCGAGATATTAATGTGCGTGTTTGTGTGCGAGTGTGTGTGGGCCCGTGTATGACTCTTCAGACTGGAATGAGAAACAGGCACTGACAGAAATATGTCATCCTCAGCAGAGGACGGATACAAGTTGATCTCACTGACCAAGAGAGCCGGAGAGCTTTGGTGAAACTCCTGAAAATCAGGGCGGGAAAAAGAACAGACAGGGAGACAGAGGCAGGAAATATTTCTATTATTCATAAAGTCCAGATTCCGGTAGAGAAGAGAAGAGGTAGTTCCTGTGACTGTTTGAGGTTAGAGAATTCACCATAAAAAAATAAATAAAATAAAGCTGCATTCACACTTCAATCAAATAAAGAGGATGGTTATGATTCAATCTGCTGACATTTCCTTTTTGCCTGAAAACTACTCTCCATTGCTTCCATGTGATATGCTCTGATGTTAATAGTTTTACTTGTTTTTACCATTTTTGATTCTCTATTTTAAATTTATTCACAAGGTCTCGCAAAATTGTGTGCATGCATTTTGTTGTGTTGTTTGTGTTTGTCCTCTATGAATTTTTTTTTTTTGCTTCCTAGCTTGAAATTATTTCATACAATTAACAATAATATGCGTGGTTTGAATTTGACACATAATGTGTTATTAAAATGATTTTTTTGTCCCATGACCAGCATATTCAGGGGGTTAAAAATGTGGCTGCTAGTTTATTAAATTAACTTCACATCCTTCTGTGTCTAAGTGGCTCACCATGTTGTCCGAGAACAAGATGAGATTGCAAAATCACGGCAATCAATTCCCCCTAAATGTGCATTATTTAACCTCCATGTACTCCTGAAAAACAAGTCAGAATGTATCATCAGTTTGTCCAGCATCGCTGTTATAAACCAAGTCATAATAGGAGAATTTTTGGAAAAACATTGCTATGAGAATGAAGTGCTGTTTGAAAACACTTCTCCCCAGAGAGGATTAAATGCCAAATGTGTTTACATGAGTTCATATCTTGTATCACAAAACACCATCTTGCAGTTGCCTTATTCCCCTGGGATTCCTCATCTGCAGGCCATTGTGTGTGTCTGCATGATAAATGACTGCACTATTAATTCAACAATGGAGAGATAAAAAAAAAAAAAATGCTCATCTGATATAGTCCTTATGGGAAAAAATAAAATAAAAGCAGGAAAATAAAATAAAAAATAAACAAAAACAAAAGCAGTCTAAAAATCGAAGAACTTGAACATGTGGACGCTTTGTCAACAGGACCCTCACATGTCTATCCCACATGGTTAATACACTGAGTGGCGTTCATTTGGGTGAATGTATTGACAGTAATAAGGGGAGCAGGGGGTCTGGCTCTGTGTAATCCTTGCAGGGCTGCGTCATTAGGACTCTGGACGGATCTGCTCTCACTTCAAACACTCGTGTGTTCCTCCACTGCGCACAGCCTCGCAATAATGAGCAGGTGCCAGGAGGAGCGTGGAAAACAGACACTGGCACTGTACTTCAACACACACACACACACACACACACACAGACACACACAGACATGCAACAATGACACAGCCATTACCGTACCAACCCGGCAGCGTAATTACCTTTCTATACACAGCGACGTCAGCCAGGCAAAAAAAAAAACGAGCTAATAACGATAATAATAATAATTAGCACAGATGGCGGCTACTCACCCAAAATCTTGGTCCATAGATTTGAAGAAGAATTTGTAGCTGTTGACCGGCCGATTGTTGAGGACATTTTTAAAATCCGCTAAGGTGACTTTCTCCGGGGGGACGCAGAGTTTGACCAGATACGGCGTCTCCTCCTCGTCTATGTGATATATGATTTTAGTCTCCGCCATGAGCGAGTGAGGGGAGGACAATCATTGACACAGGAAAAGGAACAAGGGTTGGCAGCGCAATAGACAGGCCTGCTGTGTTACCAGCTACCCGTGGAATAACATAACAGCGTTCACTAGTAATACAGAAACCTGCACACTCCACGGTGGAAAATATGGCTCCGTGTGTTGGACAAACAGGGCGAAAATCCCGACATAATCGCGTTGTGGGGTGTCTGTGCTCCAGCTCCGGTGTGAGTCGGTACGGTGGCTCTCTCGGCACTAAAACAGGAAGGGACAGTCCACATCCTTGCTTTGCGATATGGAGTTGGGAATATTGCTATTTTTTTTTTTTTTTTAAGGTAATTGGTTAGACAGTGCTGTCATCTAGTGGTGTGTCCGGGCTTGTGCGCAGCCTTATACAACACACTCACACTGTACAGTATAGTTTACTGTAGCCTGCAGATATAACATGGAACAAAGAAGAAGTGGACTGTCTTTATCAGAGCTAATTAGGGATTTCAATTATCACCACACACTTTGATATTCATGTGTAATATAAGGGTGTCAGGAGAAAAGCGACTCAATGTGGACACTTCAATGCAATAAGGCTTTTGTGTTCACACCAGAGACTGTAAATATTAAGGTTTACACACACATAGAGTATTGTGATATCCAGTCTGAAATACATTACAACTCCTTATAAATAAAAGCCCAACGTCCGATTAGTTTTCATAATCAAAGAAAAGAAATTGAAATCCCATCCTAATAAAAAAAAAGTGTACAGCCTTGCTAATATTTCACTTCAGATGAAATCTCATTATCACCTGTCATGATTTGAATTAAGAACTACAGTAGCAAGAGTCAACAGTGTCTGTGCTTCAATCATTTGTGTTATATTATATATTATAATATTTCTCCTCTTATCCTCCCAATCCTCGAAACTTTGGGGGTCACTGGTACATTAAATGTTCAAATCATTTATCAATCAAAACACTAGTGTATAAACATTTATGGATGATGACCCCATAGATCCAAATCAGACCTTATGATAGGGCAAGATTCATATAAAGACACTGATGACTGAATGCACGTTATCCCATTGTGTCATTTTCAGATGAATCCAGATGAACGGTCGTTAGTAAATTGTTGTTAGTAGCGTATCTCTTTTCTGTACACAATTTATGTGCACGTTGTGTGTCTTGTATGTCTTGTCGTTGATAGATGGGGTTGGGTTTAGGTTGTGGTGGGTACAGTCAGTGGCAGGAGAGGACAGTGGTTGTCCTCGACATTGTACACCCTCAAGAGTTAATTATATTAAAACTGTTAGTGTTACTCCAGTGGAGTTGAGAGAAGTCTGGTAGAGTTTATTTTCTGACACCAGTGTAGAGTACTATCAACAATGCTCAGTGTTAGCCTGTGTTCATTTTCAACTCTGTACGTGTGTTGAAATAACTCTGGGTGAGAGTTAACTTAACATTTAAAATATATAGACTCACATATAGACTCTTTTCTAGTGTTTTAATTTAACTCTCTCAAAGGTAATCTAATACTGGTGATTTTGCTGTGTACTTGAAGCACCTTGATTACCATGTTTAAAATGTTCTAAATAAAGCTGCCTTGATTTAGTCCTTAATAGTTGGAACAAAAGACTCTTGACAATGTTTTGAATCTTTATTGAGAGAAATCTTTTCTCAGTAGAGAACAACATAAGAATGTGCACGTGAGCAAGAGACAAAAAAAAAAAATGTAAAGGGGGTTACTGTAACATTGTGTGATTGAGCATAACTGACACAGTTATGAAGCGCTCTGTTTCCTGCAGCTCTCCTCATACAGCTATTAGCCAGACAGTTTGTAACATGTTTTGTGCCAGCAGATTTAGTAGTGATTTAGTCAGTGTTGAAAAACAAACAGGGATTATTGTAAATGCCAAATGCAATTAAACCCTGAAAAAAATCTATTAGAAACTTCTTATTTCCTGAGTTTTGGTTGACTGAGCCTTTAGTCCAATAATTTCATTTTTCACCTGATGAGCAATCAATGAACTGTTGTACAATGCACTTAGATAAAATACTAAATGGAAAAAAAAAAGTTGATTTGTAAAATCTTTTAAAAGTTTTTTCAAAAGGTACATTTTCCCCTCTCTGGTTTCTTTATCGCTTTGTATAAAAGTGTTTTCTAAATGAACTGTACAATTTAAAGGAACAATATGTTACTCAAGACATGTAGAATCCAATCCAGACTCAAAACATTGGAGAGCGTTGTCTCGTCCCACCCCCTCCTCCCTAGAGTACACAGTTCGCCATTTCGCAGACATTGAAGCTTCAGTGTTTAGCCAGCTCTGGATAAGTCTAGAAAACTTACTCTCTCAATTTTTCAAAAGCATCTCCAATATATATCCTATTTTTACCAACTTTCTAGTCATGGAGCTTATTAGAAAAAAATTGCGAGGCTTTATAGGCCGTGTAGAATCACTTCTATCTGAACCAGTTCGCTTGCCCGCTTCCATCGCTGCAACACCTGTTGGGGGGGAATCATTTATCCGTAAAAATGTGTCACTTGTTTCCAAAATCTCTTCTCATACAGTAACTTAAGCAATAAAATGCCTTTAGAAATTACAGTATATTTTGTGCAAATTGGAAAACTATTAGATGCATCCCTGTAAGCATACAAAGTACAAATAAAACATACTTTAACGAATAGCATGCATTTTTGTAAAAAAAAAAAAGAAAGAAGAAAACCTAACAAAAACAACATACAATATGTCTAATTTTAAACTTAAACCAAATATGAATGTCAAGAGTAAGAATCCAGTATATGTATAACCACATTGTTAGAACAGCTGCTGCAAATGCATGATATATATATATATATATATATATAAAACATGTGACAAACGTATTATGGCTTTAAGTGAAAAAGCTTAGTGTAAGCTTAGTGTGTTGGAGTAACAGCAGAGGGAGCTTTCCTCCTGTCCTCTCCTGGGTTTCCTCCTCTTTGTCCTCTTTCTCTCCACAGTCTTTTTTTAACTCTTCCCGTGTTTGCTCTGGACCTGCCAGCAGCTCAGCAACATGCACTCACTTCCACAGCTTTCCTTCAAAGTCTGAAGGAGAAGGTCGGGGGGGGGGGGGATATATCATAAATATAATGTAATATTTCTTATTTCTATAAGAGTGCTCTTGTCTGAGGATTATTTCCTGAAATGAAAGTCAGCACACTCACCGTTATTGCAGTCTTTGGTCATATCTCGCTCTTTCAGCAGGTTGTTTTTGTACTCTGTGAGTTTCAGAAGACATAACGGTTATCAAAAAGCAGAGAGCACATTTTTTATTGATGAGTGTTACTCTGTGTGTGTGTGTGTGTGTGTGTGTGTGTGTGTGTGTGTGTGTGTGTGTGTGAGTGGGTGATGCTTATTGTACCTGAATTCAGAGGGGCTTGGTTACAGGCCTTCAGTTCAGTGCAATCTAATGACATTTCACCTTGACTCATCCTATTTCTCCTACACAGAAGAAAAAGAAGGAATTGATATGATTGAAGTTGGACTCAAAAGAAGAGGAATAATTGTACATTATTTATTTGTACGCCTTACCGCTCAGATCCGCGCAGCTCATACTCAAGCCCTGAAAAAGATTTTTAAAAAGACATCTCAAACACACTGTCTCAACAAATGAATTTGGAATAAACATGTGTGATATTCATGCTTAATGCCAGACACAATGTGCAGGTTAGATAAACACATTACCTCTCTTTTTGCGCCGCCGAGTCAGCACAATTACAGCGACAACGATGAACGCCAGCAGTAAGAAAGTTGCCAGGAAGTAGCCCAGATGCTGCAAGAAATAACCTCGATGCTCAGGGAGGATGACGGTCACAACGCGTGGGCTCTCAGACTCTTCAGTCCCTAAAGGCAGAACATGGATCGAATCAAACCATAGCAGGTATCTCGTATAAAGACAGAGCATGTAGGAAACAAAAGTAAATACTCTGAATTTAATTATCAGGACAATTAAGTGTGCCTTCACATTTTAAAAAAAGTGAATAGTAAAGCACTTATTGTCACATTTTAACACTGATGTATTGAATATTTACTCTGGATTAACATAAAGGCAATATACAAGAACTTTAACAAAATGAAACATTTTCTATTCTCTCTCGAGGTTCAGTCCTTTTTCATTTGTATCCAAAAAAGCAGAGACACAGAAGGAAGGAGGGAGGGCGGGAGTTAAATGTCAAAACGCCGCTCTGTGGTAATGACTTCCAGACCTGATGTCATGCAGCTGGGTTTTTTTTTTCTGCTCTGAAAAATCCCAGGCTGGCCAGAAAAAAGGCGAAGTGTGAGGAAAGAGAGACACAAACTCTGTTATGTGGTCTGTCTGCATGTCTGTATGACTTTTCCATTTAGGCCTTTCTTTTTTATTATTATTATTTGTCTTCTCACAAACACAGAAGTCTAGCTTCTGCATGCATGGAAAAATAAATCTGCAACACCTTCTTAAGAGCTCATCATTACGCCGTCTGACAGGCCAGTCTGAACACATCTGCGCCAGCTCACAGGCTTTTCGGGAAAAGATTGTTAGTTAACACTTGTAGATGGTTTGCTATAAATATTTAAGGCGACAGGCAAAGAAAAAAACACTAGTTGCATAACAACTCTAACTGTTCTACTTATGCGGAATGACCCTTTAAATGTTGAAGGCTTAAAAACTACTCGTAGATATTATAGTTTTACACTTTCTCTTTAATTCATATATCAAATTTGATATAAAATTAAAGCTTAGGCATGGCTCGTTGGCCTCTCATTAAAGCAGCTACTTTTTACTTTTGAAAAACTAGGCACTGCATGGGAGCCTAATGAGGAAAACATCTAATGTACAGTCTCTGATTGTGCTTTCAAATCCAGCCAAACATGGAGAGAATCTGATTTTGACTTAATCACCCAAGTCTTCAGCGGGGGGGGCTAGGTTTGCAATTATCACCTGTCATTGTCTAATGTACCTAATAGGCATGAAATCTCAAAAGAGGTGTCCAAGGTCATCGTCTCTAGAGCCCAACTGTCAAAACCGGCGCTGCAGACGTGTCCCGGCGGTGGGCCGTTACCATTTTCCTGACAGATCTGACAAGCGTGTACGTGTTAGCGACCATCTCACATATGCTGCACAGAGGTTAGCCTGTGGGTTGTTTTTAAGCCCCTGTGGGATGTGCATCATTTGCAAGTCGATGAACTGGAGGGAAGCGTCTTCATTTTCAGAGATAGATGTTGGACTTCTGACAGCTCACAAAACGCCTCCTCCGTGTTTACAAAGGAATAATAACCTATCCGTGCTTGCCATGAATAATTACAGCATTAAAGAGAAACGCTCTCATGACGGATGATTGCTGGCTCCTTCATGCGCACAAATAACTTAGATTTAATCTAAAACGATTTAAGACCAGAGATGCATGAAGAAGATTTGAATCCCCAGATGATGTGCCAGTTTTCCATGTGAGCATTTCTTTAAAGCACACTTATGAAGCCAATAAACGGGCTGTGATTTCTTTACAGGACGGCAGAATCTATAGTCCAACACATACCTTCATCCCCTTCCCTTACTCTACTCTTTCATGTCACAGCTGGCCCAGATGTTGAACAGATGTATGGGACTTCCTTTGACTGCTGGTAAACACGCCTACACCAGAGGCTGACACACATCAGCAGAGAATCAGAGCAGACCGGGAGAAAAGAAGAATAAACAAAACTGGAGATGCAAAGTAACCAGTCTAGACACGTGGTCGGGACTTTTTTGGAAAATGGGGTTAAATGGCGCGGGGGGAAAAACACACAAGATATGATCCTCCACTCCCAAAGTTACTGGCTGTTGGAGCCTACTCCTTCACTCAGTGTGGTTAAAATGTCTCCAGCTGTTAATGCTGTAAATGAAGAAAAAGTCAGCAAGGAAAATGAGACCACTTCCTTCATAGCTAATTTAAAGCTGTTTACTGTGAACAGCTTCTCAAGCCAGAGCTGCGAGAAATAGAACGTCATTTTGCATCTTCCAGAGTTAAACTCACAGTCAGCCACTAACAGGAACATTTTTCTTTCTTTCTTCCCAAAGTCGCTTCTACATTCTTCGACCTCCTCCCTCTTCAGCTCAAAAACAGAGAGGTCAGAGGAAAGGATTTGGCAAGAGGAGGGGCTGATTTAACTGACCAACTATGCCTATAAATACAAGGGGAAAAAAACTTGAGCTGTGTTGTTCCTCTTTGCACAATCCAGCCAAGAAACCAACCAGGGAAATAACATTAACCATCACCGGCATCTGGAACAAAAACAAAGTAAAAGTGGTGTTTGTGATGTTTTTTTAATGCTGAGTGACCTACTTTCCTCTGGCTCCTCATTCTGGAAAACTCTAGGTGCTGTAGTGGGAGCGGACGGAAGCGGGGGTCCCACTGTGAGCCTGAAGATGCGTCTCTCACTCAGGCCGCAGTAGTGGTGATGGAGGTTGCAGGAGTACAGGCCTCTGTCGACAGGCTTCAGGGCAGAAATGGAGAGAGAGAAGTCCCCCAGAGTGAAAGCATCATCCTCCACACTCATCTTGCTCTGGGCGAAGAGGGGTCCATAATCCCGGCGCTCTCCGGAGGCGTAGAGGTCGACGAGGCGATCGGCTCTGTCAGGACGCACTCCAGGGGCCTGGAAGTCCCAGTGAGCCACCTGCTGCTGGTCCTCCTGGAGACCCTCCCTCCACAGGGGGCGCCGGTTCACGCAAGGCAACACGACGGAGCTGCCGAGCAGGACTATGAAAACAGTCTTCTCCCCGTCCCAGTAACGCCTCTCTTTCCGAGCTGGAAAAATATGATGTCAAAGACGGCAACTATTTTATCTGTTGGATTCATTATGACTCATGGAATAACATTTGTCTGTATAATTTAGAAGCCCCACCTGATTTAGTGACATTGAGCTGGATTTGAATGGACTGGTGGATCTGGCAGTAGTGATGGTGCAGATTACAGGTATACACTCCTCTGTCTGTCGTGACCACATCTGGAAAAAATAAGCATCCAAACAAACATAAGATTAAGTAGAAGGAAGGAAAATAGACTGACAACATCGCCACTCTGATCTTCTCCCATTGTTCAGATTTCTTTGACAGCATGGGCCAAACATCACCATCTACAAATAGAAACCCTTTAATTTAACTGTCGTCAGGTAAATGAATGGACAAAAAGCCTGTCAGGCAGCACCACTGTCACGGTGTCTTTGCACACTGTTTAAAAATCAAATTTAAGACCTTTTTATTCACATGAAAAGCTGAACAATTCAATTATACTAAAGTCCATAAAAAATTAATCAAAAGCCTGAAACAATTCGTATTACTGTGTTTTGGAACTATATTAAAGTGCACTGTTTATGCACTAATTTAAATGTAAGTCTCACTGTTGATGATGAGGGAGAAGTTTCCGTCGTTAAAAGCAGATTCTGGGACCGAGACGCGTCCCTTGTTGAAGCCGTTGTAGACTCTCAGTCGCGCTCCGGGTGACATATCCAGGACTCGCTCCACAGAGTATTCGGGGCTGCTGCGGACCACGTCCCAGTGCACCACCCTCTGCCGGTCCTTCAGTCGGTCTTGGGTCCACACCATGCGGGGGCTGTGGCAGGGCAGGACGGCCTTAGACCCTTCGGGGAGGGTGATGTTCTTGGCCTCCACCACCACACCGAGCCTGCTGCTGCTGCTCTGAGCCCACGCTGACAGGAAATAATAAACACATTAGCTCAATGATGGAAAGAGAAGCATTAACATTCAATTCTAAACATAGAGTTTTAATTCAGGCAGTGTAAAGAGAGTGTCTTACCTGCTGGCAGGAGGAGCACTGCAAGAACTGAAACAGACAAAACCATGAAGAGTTAGAGTTGTTCTCTACTGAGCTGTGCTTTCTTCTTCATGACACATCTCTATCTGTTCTCTAAAAAGGCTTGGGAAATATTTAGAATAATAAAACTCAGTACAATGTTCCAGTGGATACAGGGTTTAGTTTTGACCTGGGCTGAACCAAAATGAAAGTATTTGAGCTTTGGAGCAGATGTGGGTTCAGTGAGAGGACTGTTTAAAACAGAGGAAAGGAAAGCAGAAAACAACGACACGGTCAAATGCAGAGTTTGAAAAAGAAAAGTTCCACACGGAGCTACAAAGCAGAAGAAAAGTATACAAGATGTAAACAACAAAATCTAGAGATAAGACTTTTTCCCGACATCGCATTTGCTATTTCTAAGGCTTTTTTCCCCCACAGTGCTATTTAGTCACCTGTTTACTGAAGGGGCAGCGGAGACTGACAAAGAATATAGAGCCTCTATTCATCCTGGCTGCTGCTGCTGCTGCAGGCTTGTAGCAAGGCCGTGATCCTGAGGTCATGAAGAACGGAGCAGCTATTGAGCTCACCTCAGTCACACTGCCTGGTGTCAACACTTCACATGTGTAGTTTAACTACACTACTCATGAGGCCTGTGATCTATAGAGGCCACAGGTGCAGAGACATATGGTGTTGTTTGAAAATGTACAGAATGCATGGATGAATTCAGTACGGGAGAAAACGTAAAATACATTATTTATTACTTCTGAAAGGCAGCAGATTAATATCAACAAATCATAAAATCATTTTATTCAAAACTCCTCACGGTAGCTTTAAGTTAAGGATCTGAATTCTTCCTAAACTGCTGCAAAGAAGCCGCAAATACCATTCAGATCAATCCCTGACGGTGAAGACCTAACGCTTAAATCCATGCTGCACAAAATCTGTTTGATGCAGTCCAAAGCATGCTTTCTCTTTCCAGATGTTGAGCACATCATGGCTGCATATGGCTGATTCACTTCATATGTAGGCACACAGGCAAACACTGCCTCACCTGAGCGCTGCAACTGAAGAGCATATAACCCAGCAGAGCATGCAGAGATTATGGAACTATGTGCAACAGTTGAATAATAATAATAATAACTCGAGATGAACAGAATGATTTCAGCACACACTCTCTGACTCTGGCAAATGGAGAGGAGACCTCATTCTGGAAAACTCTGGTGGCTTTTCTATTGAGGGGTATAAACTTCCCTGCAGAAGGTAAAACAAAGTGTCCCAGCCCCTGTAATTTTCTCTCATCTCTCCTCCAGACACACACAGACACACACACACACACAGAGACACAGGCTGGTGACTCACAAGGCTGGTTAAGCTCTAAAGACTTAACAATGTGCTATTGAGTTACTAGCTATAATAACAGGCATTTATCCAATGACCTGCAAAATCACTGCTGCTATTAGTTACCCCAGGAGTCACATTGAGAATCAATTTAACAGTCATCCTGAGGATATGACAGGAAAAAGGGTTATATATATGTTCAACTCAACCTGAAAGCATGTATTCACTCAGCATCATTTCTCTGATTCATGGATGATTCGGGTGTGTAAAGTTTACTCACAGCTGTGTCACACTTTGAGAGTAAACCAAAAAATGTGTCGAGCTGCAGACCCAGCAAAACATACAATGATGCATTCAGAGGCCTGTTGACTGAGACACGCAGCTTTGCAGTATGGCAGCCAAGACTCTCAATTTGATTTAAAGTCCTATTAGTTTGCTTGTTATTTAAAATAGATCAGGTCATTTCTCTTGTTTACAATGCCTTCAGTAGCTGTGAACATCCTGCAGTACTAATACTCTCGTCTTCTAGTAGCCTACCTCGTGGCCCCTATGTTCCTCTGCAGCCAATTATCTGACTATAAACTATAAACACAAATGGGGGGAAAAAGGTGAGCGCTGCATTTTTTTAATCATGCAATAAAACTCTTAAACTCTAAAACTAGAAGAGCTCCGACAACTGCATTTAATGACTTATCATCCACTCTCTCTGTTCTTTTACTCACGTTTCTACACATTCTTCAGTTCTTTGCATATACCTTTGCTTCTTATTTGATTGTCTGTTATTCTAGTGATTGTTCTTTGAGTATTTGCACTTCTTGTGATTTGCCTGTTTTCACATGTTATCTCGCTCTGGCCATGACTTTCCATGTTGTTGGCAATATTAATGATGCGCTATGATGTCTCCTCCTTGGTTAAAAGGAGCCCTTTTCTAAAATACATGCATGTTTAATGTGTTTGATGTTTAAGGATAACGTTACTTAGATTCTTCTTTCTGTAAGAGATCTGTGGAGGATCAGGAGATGTCTGTCCTTCTTGGTCTTATGTGATTTATATCTGATTAAGCCCAAACTTCATAGCCAAAGGCAGCTTCATGAAGTATAGCCTACACGCAGCATCATCTTTATGTGTTGAGGCAAGTTTCTGTAAAAATCTGTCTGCTCAACTGAATGGGGACAGAAAGTCGAGGGATGCATACTGGAGCTGTATTTACAAAACCCACGTCACCTTCACGTGAACCTTGTATTTTCCAGTCTTTGGTGAGCAGCTACATGTTTATGAGCTTATTTTTCTGCACTTCTTATTTTTCCGTGCCCTTTTGTTGGTGGCCGTTAATTAAGACAGCAGCAATCAAAAACATGGTTGTGGTGGTAAATCCCCCTCCTCCTCCTCCTCCTCCTCCACGCAGCCTGGACTCAAAGCAGCCCACTCGTGGTGAAACTCTCATTACTGACACATATAATGACAGGCTGCAGGATTGTGCTGACTCCTCAGCTCAGACCGCAGTTAACCAGAAACACATTGGGTTGTAGCCATAAAAAAAAAGAAAATCCCACAAACACTGTTTCCACAGGCGAGTCGAAGCCATGCAGCGATACTGTATAGTCTATATGTAATGCTCAGTCCCACTTTGAAGTCCACGAAGCTGCATTCCCCTTCCTTTTGATTTTCAGAACTTACAAACTTAAAAATGAAAGCTATCTGTAGTAGAAAAACGGTATTCAGCATGTTAGGTAAATGACAGAGAAATCTAGTAATAATTAGAATAAACTGAAAAATAGTTATGCCTATATTCAAATCACGATTGAGATTTAAAAAAATCTATTCTCAGTCAACTAAATATTGAGCCTTTAAACTCCAGATTTGTATCATTTAAATTAGATTTTTTTCCCCCTCAAAAAAACAAAAAAAAACAAGCAGATTTAAATTGTGTAAACAAGCAAATGTAAAACATATTTTTACAGACAGAAAATTGAATTTCGTTGTTAAGCAAATGGGTCACACAAACAATAATGGTTTAGGGTGAAGATAAATCAGTTCTATAAATTTCATTGCAAAGACATCATGCTGAAAGGATTATGATTATCTAGAAAAACAGACATTTGCAGCAGCAGGGCAAGAGAGCAGACCACTTTTCTCCTTTTGTTCCCGACGGTAAATTCTAACCTGGATCTGATTAAAGCAGCAACAACAAAAAAGTTTCCTCGGAAAAAGTACAAAAGAAGTGGAGAACTTACGTTTTAATAGTGTCATATCGAGGTTCATGGTGCTAAAAGTGCTGGCAGCGGAGGTGAAAGGCAGACAGAGGTGGACTGAGCATCAGTTGAGAAAACAAAAGAAAACTCTGAAAGTTGTCGGAGCAGCAGCAGCAGCAGCTCAGCTGTGTTTTGTTGAATTTCTGCAGAGAAGGAGTCTGTACGAGCTCCGCCTTCTGCTGCTCCACCAGGCCATGAAATCTAACACTGCTCTGCTTATATGATTCACCAATAAACATGAAACACATTTACAATCACAGTTGGAATGAGTTTTGTTGTTCGTGCTTTACTACACTACGCAGACATGAGTAATGTTAAAAAAACGAAACAATTGCAGTATTCTTTAAAATAACAGAACAGTCCCAAAACCAGCGTTTCTTTTGTCTGTTCCAGCCCAATGCAAACATCTACATGAGGCCCTCAAATCATCCTTCATCACCTTCATGTTATACATAATAGTAACCATTAAAGGCATTTTGAGGGGACACTTTGTTTGCTCATGTCAGCAACTTAATGATCCAATGCCTTGATTAGTTTTTTCCTCATGCCTCTTTTTTTCATCCAATACGGATATTTCCATCTTCATTCTTTCCTCAACTAAATTAAGAAAGAAAAACACATACGATAAAAATACAAACCTAATAAAACTCAATATATATATATATTTTTAATTATTATTATTTATTTATTTATTGGTTTTTGCTTGTCATCAAAGTTTTATGTAACTTTTTACCACCAACCTGCCAAGAGACTTTCTTGGACGTTAAAAAAAAAAAAAAAGAGGCTGTGGAGGAGCTGGGATCAAATCGACACCTTCTGGTTGAGAGACGACCCTCTGTACCACTGAAACACATCGCTCTCTATAAAGCTTAAGATATTACCGGTAACTTAAATCATGTTTAAAGGAAGAGAGAATATATGATGCTCTCCTTTTATTGTGTTACCAAGCGTGGTGGCTGTTTCATTGTGATGCATAGATACAGTAAAAAAAACAAAAAAACAGCTTGATTATTAATTCCAATGTGAATGAATATTTTCAGTATTTGCACAATACTGCCATCTACTGTAAGAACAGGAAAATGTCATTTGTCCTCCAATTCTATTACCAACATAAACACCACCCCTTAGGTTTGACAGAGAAAGGTCTTTATTAGTTTATGTACACTTTCTGAAAAATAGTGATACCATGAGTAGGTGGTCATCACTGAGACAGGCTCCAATACGGCTGCAAAGCATTGACAGTGGGTAGATTGTTTCAACAGCAGTGTGTGTGTGTGTGTGTGTGTGTGTGTGTGTGTGTGTGTGTGTGTGTGGCACAGGCTCAAATAACCGTCTGTGTTGTTCAGTCCCTTCTGTTTCCATGCTGCTTAAGGAAGAGCTTAGGTGTATTCCATCCGTCTGGAGCCTTCTTCAGTCCAGCCCGTGACCAAATCTTCTTCAGGTCCTCCTCAAATCGTCTCTGCAGAGGAAAAGCCGGCACAGATCAGTTTTCAGCTAGTTACTGAAAATTGTGCTGTAAAAAGAGTTCATCGGGAGCAACAGACTAGCAACAACTCTAATCAAAATTAACATCTTTCAGCGCTAGTCAAGGCCCGGTTGCTGGAAATATGTATAACAAACTAAAGCAGGTTGAAGTAGGGATGGGCGATGTGGCCTAAGAGATAAAATCTCAGATTTTTTCACAACAAACTCGATTAACAATTTTGTTTTGTCTCCTTAAAAAACATTATATATAAATATGACAAATAAATTACAGTTTTGCCAATCAAATTTCCCGTCAATGATTAATAAACAGGGTTTCCCACTCCCCAAACCTGGAAAATGAGAGAAAAAGTAAAATGTCTTGGAAAATCACGTGTTGTTTCTGGAAAATGATTCCAACACTCTCCTACAGGGTTGGACATTTTTACAGCCACGCGTTAATAAAAGCAGCTATTTGTTACATTAATCCAGAGCGCAGATTGAATGGAAGTCTATGGATAATGTAATGGCTCCGCCTCCCCCTCGTGTCAAAAGCGGATATTCATTTAGCCTGCAATTTAGTTGAGAGGATGTAGTGAAAAGATCCTTCAAAAAAATAACACCATGAGAGTGAATTGTAGCAACAACTATCAGGCAGACTTGTGTTTCCTCCTCAGGTTGAAGTCCGCACATCAACAGTAGTCAGTGAACGTTATTGATGACGCGCTAACTTGCACTGAATCTCTCTCTCTCTCTTTCTAGTCGGTCTTTCTTGCTAACCTCGCTGCCGTCTCACTTCCAGGACTGTGTTCTGCTTTTACTTTGTGCCTGACAAAAGTGAGAGTGAAATACAACTATTTCACACGTTTGGCAATGTTTCTAAACTGCAGATCGGAAAAGAGAACCGCGTCATGTGTGGATAAAAATGTGTTCATATGCACAATGAATACCCAACTGTGTGAGTCAAACACAGGTCGGATACTGGCTAATGGTCCTTTCACTCTGCTGGCATCGTCTCTCCAAGTGCGATACTGCGTTGACCGTAACATGATATTAAATGTTTAACCTTTGAAGCGGTAGCTCACAGTGGGTGTGATTAGCCTTGTTAAACACTTAATATTGGTGCAGCATGATCACGGACTGTCGCACCAGCTCGATGATCGCTGAAAAAGTCCTGAAAAAATGATCTCTGGAAAAGAGTGGGAACCCTGAATAAAGTAAACAATTGGGGGTTTAAGTGAAATGTATAACATACCTGGGGCCACACAGCCACTCTTCAGGAAGTAAACAAAGGGGGGGAGGAGGTGAACTACAGGAGCCCAAGAGGGGGCGTCGGAGTATGGTTAAAAAATATTTTTCATTTCATTTCTGAAAATCTAAATTTTCTACTAACCCGGTTTATTTAAAGTTATTGAAAAACAATACATAGCCCAGCTCTAGGTTGAGTCAACATTATTGCTTAAACACACAGCTGCAGTAAATGTTCTAATCATGCTATCACATTTTATACCAATATTCCTGATGCGTCGTGTCAGGGTAAATGTTCCTAAACTTACAACAAAGTCAACTTCTAGCTCCAAACAGAGAAAAGAGACGCTCACCTGCTTTCTCCTCCCCCTGCTCTCCATCACTCTCCTTCTCAAGAACTTTGTCCTTTTCTGCAGCTTCCTGTATTTATGCCGGTTCATCATCCGTCGCCGGATCTCCAAAACATTCTTACACTGAAGGGGTGTCGCTGAACCCTCACCCTCCTCTAACACAGGGACAGCGATTGGCGGCAGCACCTTCTCCTCCACAGGCCCCGCGTCCTCCTGCGGCGGGGCAGATTCCAGTGCAGGGGGAAGGGAGTAGCGCAGGGAGAGCCAGCTCTCCAGAGGACTTACTGACAGCTTGCGTGGCACAAGAGCCTCCTCCAATTCTGGTTCAAGTTGGACCCATCGCGGAGGGGATGTGTTGTCGGCTGCTGTGGAATAGTTTCTCTGTTTCTGTGTCAGTGAGGAGCAGTACGCAGGAAGAGCCCGCCGTGCACATCCGTTCAGAATGACTCCATGGGCTTGAAGTCCACCTAAACAACGTCATTAACAGAATCATTAGAGAAACAAGGAGTTCAATTTACCATTTCAATGGACAAGAAGATACAAAATCATACTTACACGTTGCTTTGAGGATCAGACTTAAACGAGGAACAACCTTGGAGGTAAACATCTTTAATGATCATCCGGAATAAGTCATGAGGAGGGGGAGGATTGGTCACTGGTCCTGCAGGCAAGAGAGAAGCACTTTTTTTTTTACTAACGTACCACAACAAAAAGATTTACGTTTACGAATTGCGTTATTAACTAGCGTATTAATTTGCCACAATAATAATGACAATCATCTGAATGTGTATGTCACAAAGACTGTCGGCTGCACTGCCCTACAAAGGCAAAAGGCAGTCACTTCAATTTTTGGAACATTACAGACGAGCTTTATTATGAGGACAGATATCTTGAGTCAATTGTGTTGTTTTTTTTTTGAGTAAATAGTAGGTTGTATTTGCCTTAACTTCCAAAAGCCCTGGAGAAACCAAGGCGGAGTGCTGTAACTTCACTTGCTCAAACTGAGTTAAGGTCTTCTGTCTTTGTTTTTCGCTGCAGATCAAAGTGAAGTCACTGTTTCACTGCAGTGGAGTTAAGGTGTTATATCTTTGTTTTAATATCTGTCATCAAGCACGTCTGACACACACACAGCAGCTTGACTGAAGTGGAGCAAAGAAATAGTGTTTGGTTGTTGTTATTTTAACAATGCAACCAAGTGAAACACAGTAACAAATGAAAGTGAATGCCTTTTGCCTTATCATGACGCCTTATTATTATTATTATTGTACAGGCAATGCAAAAGGCAGAGTCCCTTAACTTCCAAATAGAATAGAATAGAATAGAATTACTTTATTGATCCCAAACTGGGAAATTGTGGAAATAAGGTCATGTTGGAGCTAAATAATTTTATGTACATTAATAACCTCATTAAAAAGACAAAGAATTGCCACATTTCCAATATTCTGCCTGCAACTCATTTGGCTGGACCATAAAAAGACTTTAAAGTCATTTTTCTGCAGTTCTACAGTCTGGAGAGTTAATAACATGTCAGTGTACATAGTAATAGTTTTGACAGTAAATTGACATAAACTGATGTCATCGACTACATTTAAAACAACGACTCCATAAGAGGTTGATAAGCAAATCTAACTCAATCAATACAAATAAACAATTTGACTTAAAAATCAGATGTTTCTTAATGTACAGTGTAGAGAATGATGTGTTAATGTAAGTGAGTGTCGGACCAGAGAGTCTGGACACTGAGCGCACAAAGCTTCAAACTAATGTTGTTTTTCTTCAGTTCCTCGACCACTATGACTGCATTCATTTTAAAACGGCAAAAAAATAAATAAAATAAATTACCTTGTAATCCTGTGACCGCGATTTTCGTCTTCAATGTGACTGCAGAAGATCACTACCGGCCCGTCCCGCAGAAATCAAACGCGTTTCCTGTTTCCCATACCCGACAAAGGTTCCGCCAGAGCGCACAGTTTGAGAACCATACTTTTAATATTATAATAGTTATTTCAGTTTTGATTATTATTATTACGAAGATGAAAAAAAAATGTAATAATGTAGTTACCAGTCAAATTTGTTTGCGTGTTTTTACAAAACAGCATTTTGTAATTTGTTGTTCTTGTATAGGCTACTTTGTTACTATTACTTCTATTTTGTCAAATAGCTGATCTATTTCTTATTTTGTAAATCTATTTTTTAGTATCTATTTTTTTGTACATTCTTAATTTTTATTTTTTATTTAAATTGTTAATAAATTCTATTGAGTCAATTGCTGCTGTAACACTGTAAATTTCCCCATTGTGGGATAAATAAAGGATTATCTTATCTTATTTTACCTTCTATGATCCTGATTTACGTCATACAAGACAATACAAGACAATACTTTATGTCGATTATTTCTAATACTTCATGAAAGATTGAGTCACAAGAGTTTACTGCTTCAAGACTCCACAGGAGGGCGCTAGCACCTTAGAGCAGTGCAATATGAAATGTTATTCTGTTATATTAACTCAATAAATCAAAACAAAGGATTTAACCGGTTTGAGAAAAAGCTTTTGGGAATGTAACCTGTGCAAAATGGAAATGCAACTCCATGTTTAAGTTGTTCCTTTCAAATGTATAAACACTGCTACGATGAAGAGGATGTACAAAGTGTACAAAGCTTCCTGCAAATTAATTCTTGAAATGGCAGCTAATGTCATGTTGCAAAGAGTTAACCGTTTCAATACTGTGTGGCTTGAAGAAAGTAAGCAGTAGCAGTCACATCGCCCATAGTAACATTTTGAGAATGAAACAGAAGAAGTAATGTATTTATTTTAATATTTCTAATGGTAGTTTTAAATCTTGGTCCCAGCATTACCAGTATAGACTCTATTTAAATGTACAGTATGGTACTGCAACACCATAAACGTTAAGCTCTATCATTTGTGATATTCTCCCCATTGTAAAAAGGGTTCTCTAAACCCGTCTCTGAATTGCACAGATATTTAGATATTGCCATTTTTGGGTTGTTAGCAGATACATTCAGTCATGATTCAGTTCACTCATTAAAACTAAATGTGTTTCTCTCTTCCCCGTGGCATGGTTGCATAACCGGGGAAGCCTCCACTTTTAGATTGCTCTAGTTTGATTCACTTGTGGGCAGCCACATCTAATCATTTATTCATGGGGCTTCCTCTCCTCGCTTTCATTAAGACGAGGGGAAGTGGAACATGTACAGTTCGTCGGCATTCACAGCGGGGATTTTCCCTGTGTGGTATCCCAAAGATTGTATTTGTTTGCAGAGATAAACAAGGCAGAGAGTGAGTTTCCATTAAGTGACGCGTACAATAGTCTTTAAAGTTCTTAGGGCAATTTATTTACAATAAAAACAACAACAACAACAACAACAATAAAACATTCATTTCATTGTAAATCCTGCTGGCTAGTAGCTGTTAGCTTCACTATCTTTACACCATCCGTTTGTGATAATAAGGCAACTGAAAGATCAGCAGGATGTACTGTGAGATTTCCCTTTGACCAAACAGTCTGAAAAAACATTGGAAATTAATTGAATTCAATAACAACCTCCTGTCTAAATGATATCACAAAGTAAGGGTACAAGAAATAAAACTACTTGGCAGTAATTTCAAAGTGTCAGTCAGTCCCATTTTGAATGAATGGCCTATACATTATACACAATTTACTTCAACTGAATACATATATTTACAAAATCAGTAGTTGTATATGGAGCCTTTTTCCTCACTTTATGAGCAAATACATATTCACAATTGTGTTATAATTGCATCAATTTTACTGCAATGAAAGAGATCTGATTCTTGAAAAAGACGGAGCTTCACAGTTGACAACATTATAATTTACCAAAGCAGCACATACAGTGACAGGATGCTGAGTACAGTAAAACTGATTTACACCATAAACGCCACTTCAACAGGAGATAAATCAATAAATAGAGACTGCTCTCGTCACAGACGGACAAGACAGAGAAAGTAGTCCAATCAGTCATTGATGAATACATCAAGTCATCACCAGACGACACACAGAGTGCTGAAGAGTAAATGCTTTACGTCAGGATTCTTTAAGAAAGTTGTGTGCTTAAAAAAAAATGATTCTGAAGATATTAGCTTTGACGTTAATCTGACACACAATCCCGTGATTGGCTGCAGAACACGTGAGTAAAAAAAGTGAGGTAAAATCAATCTGAGGGACAAAGAAATTGCATGTTTAATTTTTAAGGCCATTTCATTTTATCCATGAAACAATACTCTCTCCACTGTGTCCTTTGGAATCTGGTTGGATTAGCATGAAAGAGTGAAGTCGTTTTACTGCTGATTTAGACTTCAGATTTGTATCTTACCCAGAAAATAATCACAATTCAAGCACCAAACAGAACAATTCTACATCACAATAGATGCTTTGTTAGAAAATACCCATCTCAGATGCTGAATATTTGGTTCTTCTTCTACATTAGAGATCTTTACACAGCCAAAACATTTGTAGATTTAGTTTAAAAAAAAAAACACCCATGTTATTATCTCCTCTACGTTGCAGCAGAAGTCCCTCTGAACATCTCCTCGAAGAGCTCAATGGCACTGTCTTCCCCCTGAATAGCCAGCAGACCCAGGCATCGACGAGACAAACCATCTTCAACAAATAAAACTTTTTAAGTTCGTATTTAAACATGTGCTCTTCAAAACAACAGATGTGGCAAGAAACATAGAACTAGGCAACAGCTGTGCGAACAGGCAAAGAAAAGAGTGAAAGGAAACAAACACTGTGCAAAAGCTGGCCCCTCTTTGTGCGTCATCCTCTCCGTCCAGTGTCCTCTAGGTTTCTGGAAACGCTGCACTGTGGCCCTCACTGAGCAGCAGACCGGCCAGGCTCCACCTGCTTTCTCTCTTCTGTCTCCTTCTCTTCATCTTTCTCCTTCTCATCTCTGGACGCGGCGAACACCTGCTCTTGTCTCATCTCCCAGAGGGATTGTGACTTATGGGAATGCTTTGGGAAAAAGAGGGATGTCTGGTCACTATATCGCTATCCACCGTAACAGCTGAATATTAGTAGTCCTCTTTATGTCTCAGTTTTGTTTTGTGCAGGTTGAGGCACATTGGAAAGGTTAAGAGGAAAGTCTCACCTGAAGATGGAGATCCAGGATACAACCAGGTGTGTACAGTTAACAGTTCTTCACACAGAGACACACAAACATCAGCAACACCACACACACACACACACACACACACGACAATGAAAACACCAAAAAGAGAAATAATGCAGAGTTATAAAAGGTGATAAAAAATACTTCATTTTATACCAACATGGACCTGACTCACCGATGAGGACTGACGATCTTGTGGTCGTTCCAGTTTGATACGGATTTCGGCGCCCTTCCCTCGATCCGGTTTACCGGGCCCTGAAGAAGAGGAGCAAAGTGTGTTAAACCAGACACAAACTGTAGCTCCATTGCAGAATGACTTTGACATGACTAATGGTCATCCATAATTCATTTGCTTCATATTGTAAAAATAATAATCAACTTGTTTACCCACTGATGGGTTTGGTATGGAAGCCCATTTCCGCCAGTTAAAAAGATAAAAATGAAAATTTGGCTTTGTTGAGATTTTGTTTTGACCATAAAAAGGGTAGAAATAATGAAGATATAGATATAGATAGATAATGAGATAATAAAGTCATAATTATGAGATAAAAATGGTCGAAATTATGAGATAATAAAGTCGAAATTATGAGATAAAAAGTCATAATTATGAGATAATAAAGTCATAATTATGAGATAATAAAGTCAGGGACACCATCTACTACCGTGAACTTGAGCCTACAAAATAACTGTGTGACACATTGACAGTTAAACGGTCAATGCTACGTAAACAGTGTAAATGTAATGTGTTTAGTTCCAGCGACAACCAGATTAAAAGACATAACTATTTATTATGCATCTAACGTTTACTACATTTGGCAGAATTAGGATTGCTTGAATTGCTTTAGGATTGCATATCGTTTACATGGCTGAGGGGATGCGGGGACTGCAATGCCAGCTGGAGCACATGCACACTTACCAACTCGTAATTTCCATTTTTTTTATCTCATAATTTCTTAGACTTAGACTTAGACAACTTTATTTATCCCAGAGGGCAATTTGGTTCCAGAGTCCACCCAGACAATGCAGACATTTACAAACAAACAACAGAAGGAGATTAATCGGAGACAACAAACAAATCAGTATTTGGCAAAAGTAAGCGTTGGCACGATGATACCCTGGTGTGGTCTGTTTTGGAAATGACACCCACAAGGGCCAGATAAAAAGCTCATTCTAAGGACAACAGAAATAAATAAGTCAATAAATACATAACGAAGACATTCAAGGATGCATCGTGGTCACATTGAAGACTACATTCAAGGAATGTACATACAGGCCCCTGGAGCAGAAGTCACGGAATAAACCACTTGAGCAAGGGACACGATAAACAAAGAGAACATTTTGATCTTTATCTCATAATTATGACTTTATTATCTCATAATTTCAGTTTATTTTTTTAACTGGCGGAAATGGGCTTCCATAGTTTGGATTAAAAATCTAGAGAAAAAGACGGTTGCAGAAGATTTGTTTGTTCTTTATTCTTTTGTATTTTTTGTCCTCTGAATGACTTGATTTTTGTATCATGTTCTTTTTTAAAATAAGGATAAATATACTTAGCATCCTCTGTCTTGTAAAGTCAAGAGGTGAAGAAATGATGCACGGTGTACTTGACTGTTGACCAGTCTGTCTTGAGTGCGTTTTCAATAAATGGCCTCATATCACAATGATCAATCTACAATATGTTTAGATATCCAATCAAATTAATTGAAGAAAAGGATTATTACAATATTCAAGTTTTTTCTACGGAGCTATAAAATGATTTTAATGTCAATAAATTAACAATTAAAAGACATCAACAAACCAGTACATCCTGGAGTAAATACTTTAAAGTAGATTTGTTTTACAAATGTCACAAGATTAGATTTACTCTGACATGTTTAAAGTGTTAAACAACTTTCCAAATGATCAACCTGCTCCTCACCTGGGGAGCTGCAGTGACCGGTGTTACTGGAGTTACTGGTGCTGTCCTCCAGCCAGGTGCTGTAAGTGAGCGAGTCTCGCTTCTGTGGCGTCCCGGCAGATGATAGGCTCTCCTGAGAAGCACGCAGAGGAGGGTTATGAAGAATAAATCGTGTATATTAAGCCATGCTTTGTTATACTGTATACTTAGTACTCGTCTTCATTTCTTAAAGACAGAATGTAGATCTCACCATGCCTGTGTCGTAGTCCTCTGTGGCTTCAGTCTCGTTCTCCTCCACCACACTGGCGAAGCTGCTGGCATTTGAGGAGGAGCGCGAGAGGTCGTGACCCTCAGGGATGGAAGGAGCCCTGGTGCCAAAACAAGAACTACACCCTGGATTAACCAAACTCAAGCACACTGATTTGATCTGAATCTCTATCGTGTAAGAGAGAGAGTCATTCATCATGCTGCCACCCCTGAGGGATAGCCCCGCGGTTACAAAAACACAAGTGTGAATTATATCCTAAATTCATGATACAGCTCTAACCTGTCAATCACACACACCTGTTCTTGGCTGTCGTGAGCACCTCAGGAGAGCTCTGATTCGACGAGTTGTCAGATTTGGGGTCTTGAGAGACGTGGCCGCTGTCAGGAGTCTTCTGGGTGTTGGGGGAGCTCTCCCTACTGTGGTAAGGGAAAGCAAAGTGGATGAGTCATTGACTAACTCAGTAAATGCATGATAACAAGTTAAGCGACTTGAATTATGGACCTCAGGCAGGAGTTACGTGGCTTAAGTCTATAAGATCTGAAGTAAAACAAAGAAAGTCATTCTCACCTCTTCTCTTGGACTTCTTGAATGTTTTCAATACCAATGGCACTACTTCTCCTGGAGCTGAAGGGACCAGACTTCTTTCTGGTCGGGCTCTTTCCTGGGATGATCAAAGACTGCCACAGAGAGGAAAGACAGTCAGAGACAAAATAGCTCTAATACTTTAAATATCTTTGAATTCAATCAAATATTTCTGAAGGGTCTATGAAGGTTATTCATTTTTTTACTATTAAAATGCTGTTCCAAAACAAAAGTCACCTTGAATTATAAGACTAAACAGTAACATTTCTCCCTTTGACTTGTTTCTGCTGTGATAAAAGAAGTTCAAATATGCACTTAGCAGCTTAATGTCAGGCCCCCGGTGCCTGTCTGTCAGCCAGAGCAGAGCACGCTAAGGCGGGAGATGAAAGATGGGTTTAAAGGCTCCAGGGCCTACCACTAAATGTGCTTTCTCAGCGACTGCTTTGTTCAATTCAATCCCCTTTTTAAAGCTCTTACAATAAGAACTTAAAAAAAAAAAAAAAAAAAAGCCTTTTATTCAGCGCGGCTTCAAAGAGCAGGGGGGAGGATTCTCTTTTTATAATTTCCCTGCAAGGGGGTCATTAAATCATTAATATTCATCTTTTTTTGAACAAATCATCAATTTAATGTTGGATGTAAAATACAGAATAGTCATAAGGCAGACACATACTGCAGTTAAGGAAATAGGACGGTGAGAATAGAAGAACATCTACAATAGTCAGTCGGAGGGAAGTAGAGAATCTTATTTCTATGATTTGTCAAATCCAAAACATTGGATTCATGCAATCAATACAAAACCTCTGGAGAAGAAATCTATTTCTGCTTTTGTTTTGATCACAGATTGAGATAATAACGGCTTACATCCTAAATGTAACACACACTGCATTAAACAGAGTGCTGAAATGTACAGAGAAAAGTGTTTGGCCATGATGTAGTAAAGCCATGCAGACAAAACAAGCAGCAAAGGGGAGAAGCGAGCAGTTAGAGAGTAGTTAGAATTAGACATGAACCTCTTCTACTGTTCCTATCCCTATGGCACTGCCTCGACGTCCATATTTACTGGGACTTTTGCCTGGGACAAGCAATGACTGAGCCACACAGGGAGAGGAGAGACAGAGAGAGAGAGACAGAGAGAGAGAGAGAGAGAGAGAGATGGGATGTTGACAGAAGACAGAGAGAAGGGGAGAGGGGAATGGGGAGGGAGAAAAATCGTGAGATATACACAGATATATATGAGTCCATGCAGTCAGTAATGTTATTCAAAACAAAAAATACAAAGCACAGGTTAACTGGAGAATATAAAGTGGGACATTTTGGCTCCATGGGTGCAACATAGGCAGCTGGATGGGAGAGAGAAGAAGTGATGAGCTGGTTATGTGAGCCTGTGTGAGAAAGAGGATGAAGAAGAGATAAAACAGCAGAGGAGGACTTACAGTGTGTTAAACATTAGGGTTCACATCAAGACTGGGCAAAAACAGGCTGGAGCTACATACAACCAATTAGAACATTTGTAGATGAAGAAGATAATTGATATTGAAGGTGACCTAGAACAATCCTATAGATGTGGATGTCTGTTTCAGGATTTGGACGATCAAAACAGCTTGTTCAGTAACATGCATTTGCAATTTTAGACCAATCTTTAGGGGAGTTTCAGCACCTCTACATTTCATCTCGGCACCCCTCAAATAATAACAGGAGCATGAGCAACATCAGATTTCTGACCGAAATTTAGCAAATTTCTTAACCTTATATTTTAGCGATGATTTTGAAAAATGTGTCTCAATAAACGATAATATGTGAGGGCAAACAGAATCCTTTGCTACTATCATCAATGAGGCCTTATGCTTAGTTGTAGGCTTATTGAATAAGTGAGAAAAATATCCAGATGAGCTACTTTACAGTGTTGAGAAGCATGGTTACATGTAAAAGTCCTGCATTCAACATTTTTGATATTATAGTATTAGGCTGAATTGCTAGCAAAATAACGTACAAATAATAATCTATTAATACTAATAATAATACCTGTATGAATTAAATACTTTTGCAACAACATTATATTCCATCTTTCATCTCATTACAAACTATTTTGTGGTGTAAAACTCATCAAACCTCATGTTGCTATTATTGTTGTTGATAAAAGTCTCACATGCAGGAACAGATTTCTAGCTCATGAAGTGAGGAGGATCAAACCAGAAGTCAACATGCCACAATTTCTTTAGGAGCTGAGCAAAAAGTCTCAACCTAAAATCGCCCCTGGTACCAAGAAAAGAAAAATAAATAAAAGATTTTCACTTCCATACATAAAAAATGTCAGTAAAAAAATAAAAGGCCCTTCTCTACCAATACACTGGGGCATATATAACATACGTTAAAATATGCATACTTTTAAATGAAGACCTTAAATCTGCTGTGAAAACTGATGAAAAATGATTTTGTAACACTGCTACTTTCAAACTGCAGATTCAATGTTTTCTCTTTTTTTGCTCATAAAGTGACAAAAAATTCAGTGAAATACAAAAACAACAAAAAAAACAACAATTTTTTGTATCATGCACACACACCACACACACACACACACACACACACACACACACACACACCAGTCACACACCGACATGGATTAAAGTGTAAGTGAACTGTCATAAACAAAGCAGATGCTTGTGGACTTTAATAATGAACACACAGGTTGCATACAGTTTGTGTTATTAGCAGCTTGAACCCAGGGCAGAAATTCACGTTGTGTCTTTAATGCATTCAGGTTTGCTATGAGTGTCCAGTCGCTTCAGCTTTTGGTGGAGGACAAAGTGAAACCATTCAGTGTGAGAGCCAAGTTTATGACCCGGGCAAAATCACTCCACTCAACCGAGTGTGGAGCCTGAATCTGTGAGAAGTTAGTGCAGCAAGCAAAGTGAGGGAGGCGGGGAGGGGGCGTTAACTCTAGTAGAGCTTCTTGAGGGGAGGCTGAGGGAGTGAGTCTCGCCTCCCTTGAGATCAGGAGGAGTGGGACTGTACTTACTATCCCTGGGAATTTGGGGCTCTCTGCGGGTTCGTGGTTAAAGCTGCTGCTGATGCTAGTGGAGACTGTGTGCGGCTTCTTGAAAGCTAGACCCATGGCGTCCATAGACTGGCTCCTGCTGCGGATCACTCGCTACAGAGAAAGACGAGGAGGAGGAGGAGATACATTCAGATGGGCGCTGACCCCTGTGACCCCTCAGCATCACAGGCAGAGAGGAGCCTTAGGGGTTTGTCCCTGAACACTGACCACTACAGGCGGAGAGAGCCGGCCTGATGCTAATCCTCACAGACAAGGAAGCGACAGAGAACACTGCTAAGCTTTAGCGCCCAGAGGGGGGTTCAGATGAGTCATTAGGTGGTGAGAGAGGAAAGAGGAAGTAGAGGGGCTGAGTGGCTCACAGATGTCTGACAACACTGAGTTTAAACACAGCCAGGAGAAGTCTAAAGCCCACAGCACCTCTATGCTGGCAGGTAGCAGAGTAAAGAGGCAGAGGTGAAGAAATCTTCCGTCCCTTTTGATTTAAGGACACGTAGAGAGGACAGAATCATATAAACTATTGATCGGTGACTGAGCAAGCAGAGAGGGAAGCAGCACAGAAAAGCACGGCAGCATGAGGAAGCCAAGAGTTTTGTGTTCCAGCAGGACAGAGCAGCAGAACTTTTCTTCATTAAGGTAAATTCAGACTGAGGGAGGCAGATGGAGCCCCTGAAAGCCACTAGCTTAACAATCTTGAAAGGCTACTACAGAGAAGAAACCCTTCATTACATACAAAGACATGTGATGACATCTGATTACAATAAATGATAGTTTAACGCTGTCCTTGTGCATTAACAAAGAGATGTATAGCCTTAAAATGGTGTAGTTCAACATTTTACGAAACAATCTTGTGTGATTTCTTGCCAAGAGTTAGCTGAAAAGCTCAAAGTTACTCTCAAAGGTATCAACAAAATGAAGCTAAAGCGACAGGTTTTCTTAGGTTAGCATCTTGTATTGCAGCTAGGCCAACAGGCTTGCTTGGCTGTTTGACAAAATCCAGATACCAGCTCTTCTTAAACTCGCCCTTAATAACATATCTCAATTGGTAGATTGGTCTGGAAGCTGAAATGTAGCCTACTGTCAATTTATGATTTGGAAATTCATATTTTTTCTGACTGAAGCTCTCCCTAAGGATAGTTGTTTTCTCTCTTTTGGTATTTGTGCTAAGCTTAGCTCACTGGCTGCAGCTTTATAATAAGCAGCACACATGCCTGTTGTATCTATCTTCTCATCTAACCCTCGGCCAGAAAGAGAATAACTGTCCCAAAATGTCAAACTACTTATTTGATGGAGATCAAAATGGGCTTGAGTTCAAATGGATGTCTTTGTAAAAAGAAAAAGTGCCTATCTAAATGAAATACACATTTGAAATCATTAACAAGTTGGTTGTGACAAACATGTTGTAGCCTCTCAAACTCTTATTTCACTTGTTTTATTTTGATTTTGAAGGAGCAGAGAGTTGCACAAAGTCAAGCAGTCAGGTTAAACACCCTGACCCCTGCTCTCCAGTTACCTTGAAGGACTCAAAGAAGCCCCCTCCTCCTCCACTTCCATTTTCCAGTTTGTCGTCCTCTCCTCCTCCGACACCCATCATGGCCTGGCTGTTCATATGGAGCTCCTCATACAGGGTCTCTAACAAGGCCGACCGCGTTCGTTCCTTTCACACGCAAACGTACAAAGAAGAAACATGAGACAGAGGGAAGAAAATATTATCACTCTGAATCACTCTCGTCAGAGATACAAAAAGAACGATGTCTTAAATGTTTTCCAATAACTCACCTCTAATTTGGCAAATTTCTCAGCTTTGTAGCAGGCATACTCTGCATTTATGAGCTTAGTGAAAAGGAATTCATGGAATTCAGGGCCCTGGAAAGAGAGGAACAGGTAGACATGTCATCATGTTGGAAACTTAATAATGACCAAAAGTGGGAAGTGCACTGGCTGGAGAACACAGTAGTTCAGGTCAAAATGAAAGTCTTACTTTTTTAAAGACTGCAGGGTTTGGGAGGGCCGGGCCAAAGAAGGGTACATCATCCCGTGCTGTAACTGACACCTACACAAATAAATATAAATAAATAATGTAAGATGGAGTTTAATAAAAGTGTCTATCACAGTGAACAAAGGAAGCACATGGAGGAGGGAAAGTTACCCTGTAGAGGACATTGTCAGAGCAGGGGTTGACCACTTGGACCACAACATAGGCGTGAAGAAAGTTAGAGGCGATCATGTCCGGTACGAAGGGCGTGTTGTCTTCTTGGAATACAATGGCGACAATGTCGTTTCCTATGTGTCTCTTTCTCTGCAACTGCAAAACACCAGCAACATAGCAACTCATTACAAATTCATTTAGAGGATCATTTATATCAGTATACTTCAGTAGACCGGCCATTTGAAATCAAATGACATTTTAAGGCCAACCCTTTAATCATATAACTTTGTTCAACACTTGAGTCCACGATGATATTTGCACTATTTAGTCCTTCAACATAAAAACATCGATGTGAAATCTGTCCTACTGACATGCAGTGTACATACATAATGAATCCACAAACACTTAAGTACTTCTCAAGAAACAAAACTAGTCCAAATAGCACATTGTGAAATTGAAAACATAAAGACTTCTGTTTACGTTTTACAAATGAGACCCTTATCTTGTGTTTCTGACAAATACTGTGAAACACAGTTCCATTAAAATATGACTTACCACTGTTAACACCTATGACAACACATGCAAATCAGACATATTGCCAACGTAACACTGCACAACATTGTGTGAAACTGCAGGACGAGTTAAGAGGATTTAAAAAAAAGAAAGAAGTTACATTTATTCATGTTTTTTAAATAATATATAATATATAAATAATAATAGTACTGTTTGCTAGGGCTTGGAAATTAATCGAGTTTTAATGTTGGCTTCACCATCATGAAAACAAAATCATTGAGATTAAATGATTACTGTGCCACATGCCGTGTTGCTCTTGTTTGGTCCACAGGTTTTGTCATGTCTGGTAAATGTAAGTGTTTGTTGTCACTTATTTACTTGAAGTATTTATCACTTATTTATGTTGAAGTGTTGAGAGTTAAATTTGATAAAAAATATATGATCCAGATGTTGTAAAGTCAATGAGGCATCGGTTTAAAAAATCCTGATCTCAATATCAATCAAAAATAATCCTGATTATGATTTTTGCCAAAATTGAGCAGCCCTACCCTTTACCCATCATTCTTGCTTTCTCCTGTCCAACCACAGAAAACAACCCTGAAGCCTGTGCACATTTATTACACACCACCAGGGGGTGCTGTTTCTCTACTAACAGCCTGAGCACCCACTGAACTACCGAGGGACACTGAACATATAGACAGGGCCTCATCTGTGTTTGTACAAGCCACGATAGCAAATGGTGCACAAGATGCGCTACTTAATCAGTGCTTGTGTGAATATGTGAGCGAGAAGCGAGGAGGGAGAACACGGTGGTGTGAGCAAAGCTGCATATCAGCTTCAGCACTGCTGCTGCATATGCAGACACTAAAGCATACATAAGGAGCCATTCTTAATTACTGCTAGGCTTATTTTTTTCTTGTTTGCAAATATTTGCTGAGGTTGGTACATGTTAAATAGGATTCCACTGTACCCAGATGGAACCAGTCTGACTGCCTGCAGTGAATTATAAAAGGTGTACAGTGTTAGTTTAGTGTTGAATTGCAGTACCTGCTGTGTGTCCCCTTCTGTGTAAGGCAGCTTTGTGGACACATGGAACATGACCTCTTTGTTGTGGTAGTTGCAGTAGATGGATTCGGTGCCCGTCTGCCCGTGATTCACGTCCAACCCTCCACGGAAACTGCAAACACATAGAACCGTGTCTAACATGATGTTCTGCACCATGACTGCAGCAGCATGACCATCACTCATGCTGCTGGTCTGACATGATGTAAATTATGGTTGGCAACATGTTGTAAAATGTACAGTGGGTTATATTTAGTGCCTCAAACCAGAGATAGATCCTCACCCTTTAAAGTTGTGGAGCTCAATTTTCTCTCCTAGAAACTCCAGAAATTCTACAAAGGCTGGACTCTCTTCACTGTTTCCAAACAACTCTTCTTCTGAAGTCTGGAACCATTAAAAAATCATAAGCAATAAGGCCTGGAGTTAAAAGCACAGAGGATCATTTTGTATGATAGAGTGTGTACTGTACGCTTCAAAGTGTTCAGTAATAACAGCACTTATGTTAGCATTACAAATAAACAGGCAGAACGGATTCAGAGGAAGTGAACCACAGGTAATAATTGCATATAATTATTTTATGTAAGGTGTTTTTATTTCAACTGATCATTAGAGTACATGCCGTTAAGTGAAGTGTTTGTTTTAGTTAATCTTGTTGAAACATCAGAAGGTGCAACAGGAGTTTTAGAGCTGGAGGTGAGGGGGAGGGGGGGGGGGCTTGAGGAAAGCTTGTGCAATAATGAAAATAATGAGCTCTGTGATAGACTGTTGATTATCTATTGTCAGAGAGTGGAGCGGTGATGTGAACACAAAAGCTTTCCTCGACGCAAACAAACAAAAACAAGGCCTGCTTATTTTTTTGTTTTGTTTGCTTTATACCTCCTTAACCATCATGCATTCCTCCTGAAAAGAAATCACCCTGAAGGATGAACAGACAACCTTATATAATGTATTTAACAATGCATTTAAACCCCTGCAGGCCAGATCTCTTAACACTGAGGTCTCTGTTCAGAAGTAGAAGTGCCCTCAGCAAAGCATTCAACAGCACCCCCCCCCCCCAACACTGTAAACAAGAGGGCTGTGATTGCCTCAGAAAATGAGAGGGAGTGTCGGGCTGTACTGAAAGCTCTAATTAAGACCGAGGAGGACCGAGCATAATGAGCTTCCTTGAGGACATCAGAGATTACAATGTATAGTACATTCTCATTGTTCATGGGCTGAATATGATGAATACAAAGGATGCAAGTGTGTCTACTGAGCCCGCTCTGACCAAGAATCCTATTGCACCTGCCCTTCAACTTTTATTTTATGGTGACATCATTTTTAATTAGACTTAATAAAACTGCATTTATCAAGTTAAATGCTAAGATACTAAATATGTGTATAAAACTATTACCAAACTGTTGCAATAAATGCATTAAAGGCATATTGTGCAAAATGCAATTTATCAGACACAATAATGTGTCTCTAGTCTACAAACCCCCAAATTATGAGAGAAGTCCATCCTCTCCATCTTTTGCCTGCTCCACTTTTTTGAAAATGTGTGCTGAAACAGGCTGTTTGGAGATTTTCCCTTTATGACATCACAAAGGATTGTAACCCCTCCCCCAGGTGGGTGACGCTCCCACAGCTAGGTGTTTGTTCTGCCCTCTGAGTCTTCATTCTCACCATAAACATTAAAGCATGGCGCAAGAAAGCCCAAGCCACCCAAGAAGGGCGTGGTTGTACAAAGCTCATATTTTATATTTAAAGCTACAGACACAGAAACAGCCTGTTCAGAGCAGAGATGTAATAGAAGGGTTTATAGGCATGATCAAATACAATGATCAGAGAGGATTTTAATCAAGAAACTTCACAGACATGTTTTGGTGAGCTCTAAAAGTTAGTTAAACTTGTTAAAAAGGTGTATAATATGTGACCTTTAATATCATATCTATTTTCTTACATCTGCACCTCTGCATGCATAAGGCATGATCAGTAGTTTTACTTACTAGTAAAGTTTGATTTCTATCAAAGCTTCAAACACACTTGAATAATACAAACAATTATCATCCAATTATCTTCCTTTAAACGGAGTAATCCTTGAATGCAGTGTTACAGAGTATTTCTTATATGTTGAATTACAACTTTAGAAGTACAAAATAATCTGATAACTAAATCCGCCACTGTGTGCTAAGAATGCACAAGTATGAAATAATTGCTATTTGGCAAATTGAATAGTTCCTGATTAACTTTGAATCACATTTATGCTTAATCAGCAGATTGTGAAGGTTTGTGTCTGTAAAGCTCACCTGTCCAAACTTTTGGTAAACGACCCCAAACTTGAAATTGTTGCTTATCACATGTTCATCAAAGGTGACAATGAGTCTTGAAGCCTGTAAAAAAACAGAGAGAACCAAGGACATTAAAGGAAATTAAACACATTTTATAAAGACATCTAGAAAAATGCCCATATTCTGCTTGTAATTATTAGTTCTCAACTTCTAAATTCAAAGTTCATCTGAAGCTAATATGACACTTGAGATTAACAAATCAAGTGTTCATGGTCCAGAGTGAAACTGTTAGATTTCTCACCCTTAAATGTTTTCCCTTAGATAAACTTTTTCCTTAAACAAAGTGAAAAAAGAAACTCTGCAAACCACCACAGGTCTTACTTTTGGATAAAGGACAGGAAAAAAGCGGTCCACGTTGACCTCTTCACAGACAAGCTGGATTAACAAAAAAAGAGGGGAACGGTTAGATTGTGGGTAAAATGACATCACAGATGATGTCCCAGCAGATCATAAGAATAATAAACACAACTGTTGTCACCTTGGCCATTTGGACCACGTTGGGAAACTCAGTCAGGCAGGAGATGGGGATCACATCATGGTGTGTTTTCAGCTTGTTCCTGGTGAAGCCATAAAACAATCAGTGTGTTTTTAAAGCCATATAATGCGATGCAACATTCCTCAAAGTGTACAGTGATGATCCGGTTTGGACCCTCATCAAACCTCCCCACCCTTGCCTCTCTTTGCCTTCTCTAACCTCCATCCCTCTGTCCATCCCCACCCACTCGCTGGCCTAAATAGTCCATCTGTTACACGGCTGTGGAGACGACGGGGCTGTTGACACTCTCTCCGGCTTTATGACTCTTATGATAACAACCGAGCTGAGAGGATGTGTTTATCCGGTCAGAGCGGGGCATTTTGGGAACATTTACTTCCTGCTGATCCTGTAAGTGGTGGGATTTGCTAAAGCCAACACTTCCATAACTTCAGATGCTGATTTACAGAGTCAGAGATTTGATTTCTCAGACACTGCATTGCAGCATGTATACATAATGAGCACTGACTTCACTAGAGGAAGTCTAGAACATTATTATTAACATCTGAACTGTAGAAACAAAAAGCTTAAACTGCCCCAAGGAGAAAAACTGTGGGCAGGAAATGTCTGAATGGGACATACAGTACAGCTTTTTTTTTTGGAAATATGTAAATATCTATAGTTCTATAACTCCAAAAATCAGGGGTACTCCAGAAGAGCATGGATTATTCTATGCAACCCATGTTGAAGGAGAAAGAACTTCAGATATTATAATCACTTTTAATAGTAATTTAAATGGAACATTATTTGTTCAAGTAAAGTTGCATTCAAGAGCAACTAGTCGTAGTCATGGGTCGTACCTTGTCGTAGTGGAACGAAGTCAAGATTGAATGACTAGTAAAAATACATGTTATCAGTCAGACTTAAACAATTAAACGGGAAGCACCTTAGATTATATATTTCTCTGTATTTTCAAAAGCAACTTTTAGACCTATCTGAAATCTGGCTGTTCATTTTGAGTGTGTGGAACCAAAAGGCTTTCGGCTGTAACAGAAATGTGTCCCTTTTCAAACCAAAGGTTCTGTTTCACAACCTTGAAACAGTGAGCATTACCTGAGCATGAGTCGGAGATGTTCCTGGTCTCCAATCACATCGTACTTTAGAGAGAACACCAGATGTCCGAGGGCGCTGTCCACTGAATAGTAATTAAAGTGTTCCTGAGGGCACAGAGCGAGGACACGGCCATTAATCTCTGACACAAACACACACATGAGCATGACACGGCATAATCTGTCCAGTCTTCAAACTTTTCTCCTTCTTCTCTTTCTGTCCAGATCAAATTTGTTCATATCATGCGTTTGTGTATGAACAGGTGGCACAGGCTAAGGCATCTTCATTAGCAGCCGCGTATGAGGTGCCAAAGCGTGAGGGCGGCTACTGTAAGTGGTTTTCCTCGACTGGGATTCACTCGCTGCTTATTCATTTCATTACTGTAATGAGCAAGAAGTGAAACTGATGGTGATATTCTGCGTGAGTAACGCGGCCTATTTGCAGAGGAAGGAATCTGTTATAATGAGGGCCTTCATGTGTGTTATTGCAGGATTATCACTGTGGAAGCAGAACACACCTTTGAAATCAAGTAGAACCGACTTCATCGCTAAATAAACAGGATGATTTGATGTTCAGTGTATTCCACTGCATGATAGAGGCCAAAAACAAGACATTGGAATAAATGAGAATGACGTAATCTTCAGAAAAACTAAAAAACTAAAAACTAATGTTAAAAAAACTGATGATACAGCCAGAGGTACAGAGCTAAGATGGGAAGGAGATCTTGGAATACACTCTTTAACTCTCTAATTCATAAGGCATCCTAAATCTTACACGCTGAATAGTATTCAGGAGTAAAAAAAGGAAGGTCTTTCTTGACATTGTTATGTTAAGAGTACAGACTAGACCTGCTCTATAGCTCAAGTGTCATGAAGATTCATGAAGTGATTTCGGGCTCTATGAATAAAACTGATGGATTTATGTATTCTAATAACTGTTATTCTGCAGAGTGTATTTTGCTCGGTAGACTGCTAGTAGAAATGCTGAGTGCTAATGATGAATGTAATGGATTTAGTATAGAGGACACAAATGTGTTTGGGTCTCTGTAAACTTTATTTCCATCTGCTGATGTCAATTAGTGCAGTTTACCTGCTTTCTTTTATTTTTCTATTCTAAGCTATTCTGCGCTGACCAGAAAAAAAGAAAAAGGAAAAGGAAACAGGTCTTGTATATACACCCTTACTCAGCAATAAACCTGATTCTGATTGAGAACTGATCTCTGTGTGTTGCACAAAGGGGCTAACCTTGCCTAAGAAGTCTTTCCGGTAGATGGTTGCTGTCGTGTTACATTCCAGTTTGGTGCGTGTGTTCGGGGACAGCGGCTGCAGCTGTTCTGTGTCCACTGTGTCACTCAGCTCATGATTCGTCCCTTCGATCCAGTAACCCCCAAACTGAGGCAGGAGGATGAGAGGAAAGGGGCTTTTCCTGCCCAACACCTGTACCAAAATGCAAAGAAGTAAGGTTTAAAAAAAAAGAAGAAGTGAAAAGTGAAAACCGTGGAGTGTAAAAAATGCCGATGCAGCACATTGTCGTCATCCTACCTCGTGCACACTGGGGTATGGAATGTAGTCCTCTTCAGTCTGAAAACAATTGGAGGGGGAAAAAAAGCTTTGTTTTCTCATCAAAGAATAAAAATAGCCACACTGTCCAACCCTATAATCTCAAAGGACACTGCTTCAGTCTTATTGCATAACTGTTACGCAATCACAACAAGGAATCAATGCATCAGCCATTATGTTTGCAGATTGATGATTTAAAATACTGTTTAACATCATATTATCCTATCAGAGCCTTAGTCACTAAGATTTTGCAATTTCTTCTGCAGAGCCTGAGGAGACATGAAAGTCTCTCTGCGGATATGAAATGATGGCAGGACTTGAGAGCCCTGCACTGCATTATGAATAATACTGAGCTGCTGTGTGCTGGAGTAATCAGTCTGGAAGTGCAAGATATGGTGGAGCATCTGTGAGACAATGGCTGTATCAAGTGAAAAACAGTGTATCTGTACAAGGAGAGCCGCACCTTTAGTGGGGGAGGAAAGGTGCACCTCTGCTCATCCATCCTGTTGCCCTGCGAGGGGAGAGGAGGGCGATAAGGAGACACAGAGAGGGAAGAGGTTGCACTGTCAGTCATCAGCAGAGCAGCTGGTTTAGTGTTCAAACTAACGCAAATATGTAAATTCAAATACTTTTCAATGATTGAATGTGCAGAATATAAAGCTGTTTTATATTCTCTATGACAGCAATTAATCCCAAGAGAAGAAAATTATCCATTTCATTACATAACACCGCTTGTTTCCCCAAGAGGTCTGCAGCAGGCAACAAGGCAAAGTCACAGAGGGACAGATGGAAAGTTACATGACGCACACAAACAGAGAGCTGATACAATTAAAGGATGCTAAAGAGTGAGCATTTTGGAAAAGGCGTGACATCTGTTAGCACACAGAAGAATTGTGTTAATGAGACCCGAAAGAATTTTTTTTAAAAAGACGCTAAGGTAAGAGAAAAAAGAAGCACCCACAGGACCTGAGGTGTGTATGTGTGAAAGAGGGAATGGGGCGGATGCAGAAAAAGAGATTCTGGGATATTAAATCAGAGTGGCGATGGCGCCAGGAAGATGATACATCATATTGATAAATTGTGGGAGGGAGAAGAGTCCTGCACCATGGTCTCTGCTACAGAGAAATAGATCTTATACTGTCGCATGTGAAAGATGTTGGAGCCTCTGAAAGCTAATTAATTTAAGTCTTAAAACGCTCTACCATAAAATTCTCATTTCATTATATGTGGGATTGAATGTTTAGAATATGCATCCTTCTGAAGCTTTAAGAGATCAGGCGACAGTTTCTGAGGGAGGGATAGTGAAGTAACAGAGCTGTTAGCAAACAGAATGTTAATAGAAGCTCTGAGACACACAAATGATGCTCCGACAACCCTCCTCTGAAAGCATCACACAGAAGTGTTGTAGCTGCAGAGGGCCAGAGAGCTGCAGAGTTAGGAAAAGCCACACTGACTGACTGCCGGTTGCTTATTTTGTGAGTGAAGCTTAAAGAGCCTGAGACAAAGTAGACAGATCACTTAGTCTTCTTACCTGCATCCTTTCAATCATTTCAAATAAACCTGGAGTCTGCAGAGAGGAGATGACATGACATGTTTGAGTTCATTTGTTGGTTTCTGTCAGGTGGGTTTCATTCCAGCAGAGATAGTTCAAGTTATTAATCGTTCAGCAGTAACAGAAAAAGAAACAGCCATTTGACCCTTTGTATTTAGTCGACCTTTTCCCCCTCACTGTTTTCTGTGTCTGCTTACGACACATAATAACTGAACTTTTGCTCTGTGCCCTCAGGAACAACTTTAATTACTATTCAGTAGACAGAGCCGCTGGACATCTGCTGCTTTGTGTCAAGTACGATGTGATCTCTGACCAGGAGCAGCAGCGCCACTGTGTTTATCTTTTCCCTTCTGGCCTAATCTAAGCCGAATATGTCGGAAAAGTAAAGTCTGATCATTCAATGTTTCACAGTGCATTTTGTTTTTTCTACAAGTATATGTATTTTTTTTATTTGTATATGGTAACTTGAGGTGAAATTAATTAATGTGTAAATTAGCATTCTTAATGATATTTAGATCTCTTCCCTTTACCATCAAATATAATACATAAATAAATGGCTATAGTAACAAAATAGCTTCATTGCCACATAAATGTTTAAATAATTTATGATTTAAATGTATTTCAAAAAGACAAAATGGTCTCATTCAGGATATTGGAGGGATAGTACAGCAAAAAAACAAACATTTGAACTATTATTACAGATCAATATGGTATGTTGAAGAGCAGTGGTCTCAAGACTTAACAGAGTAAATGTGACATTATCTGTACAGACAATTTTTGAACACGTTGATCCCAATAAAATGGACTTTACATTATCAATGATAGTCCACTCTGTTAAAGCTCCTGTGAGGAACTTTTGGTTAGTGGCGCCACCTGTGGTCAAAGCGGTACTTCTTATCTCTGAGCTTATTGCGTCCTGTACATGTGCCAGCGGTGTCTTCTGATAAGGTCGTCAACCTTTTGGATACATGTGTGACACAACCTTTCTTATTTTGATTAAATAGCATTATAAGGTATGAAAAAGTACTGAAGCTTTAAAAATCTAAAGATCTTCAGTCATATTTTGATGAGAGAAAGAAAGAGAGCAGCGGTGATCTGTTTAAATTCACAGGTCGCCTTTATTGGATTATGAGGGATAACTCGTTTCCTTGCACGCATTTGGGTACCACATTGTTGTGGATGTAATTGTGAATTTTAGACAGTGTGCAGGAGTTTACTGGCATTGTTGGGGAATTAATAAAAGGCAATATGACATTTAGGGTGCCTAGGACTTTTGTATTTGTTGCTGTGGTATCAGGCATCAGTATTGTTTGATTTTTTTCCGAGTAGAGTGTCGAAGTAAAATGAAAATCTGCCATCGTGACAAGCCTATTCTCTGACAACAAATAACATCCTGATTTCATTTAACAGTCTAATGGATCAATCAAGAAATCTCCATTAAGAGTGTTTGCAGCATGCAGTAAACCACTGCCTGACGCCTAAGACCGTTATAACGCCTTTATTGAAATAATTAGTCTTCTTCCTGCTTTAGAAGCTATTATAGAGGCATTAACATTGATTTCAGTCTGCTTCATAACCAGCTGAAAAGTCCTCACAGGAGCTTTAAGGACTGTGTAAACTCAGTTGTTAAGGACATTAAACAGATCATTGTTGATAATGACTTGGGTCAAATATTGTGTAATGACAAAACAACAGTTTCCACAGAACTGATTACTGTACAGTAAGTGAGCAAAGTTTGTAAAGCACAAACATTCTGATCTCATGACATACTTCACTGCCAGAGTTCAGACTTGTATTTATCTTCAATCACATTTTACCTGACTGCAGCATGTGATCTCCTGCCTCTCCCACACTATCTCACACAGTCCTTTAGTGATGGACCAGTTTTTCCACATGAAACACCTGCCTCACTCTTTAGATCCCAAACACAGCTGCTGGGAGTATTGTCCTTTAAAGGTTCACATGCACAACACCATACTTCAGACGAGCATGACCAATCAAACAACTACAATAAAGCTGAGTTACAGCAGTCGGTGAAAACGTGGGCCTGTAGTAGTGACAGCTGAAAGGTTGAGTCAGTGAAGCCTGACACAGTCGGTTTGTGTACAGAGCAATCTTAGCTTTCAGAGCGAGTTTGAGTAAAGTCCTCCACCATGTGCAAACACTAGTCTGCCTCAAACCCTGAAAGTAAATAACAGCGGTTGCAGCCACATTAACCAAAGATTAGAACAAGAGGAGCTGCGCCGTTTACTCACATATTATCTTTGGACTTCTACAACAGAAACATCAGCCTTCAAACTGTAAGTCATGATATCAAGCACTATAAAAGCAGAGGTTTAACTGACCTCATTTTTTAAACTAAAAGAAACACCCAACAACAAGCTGGAAACGTTTTCCATTCGTTTTTCTTCTGCTTAAAATCAGATATTTCATTTGGAACTTGAATTCAATTTGGGGATGCATTCATCCAGGCCACTGCTGATGAATGCTAACACATTTCCTAACTAGTTTGCTTTCCATCCAGCGTGTCTCTAAAGTGCAGCTACTTACATGGTTGGGTTTCTTCCAGCGGGCCTTTGTCACTGTTGGAGTATTGAAGTGGATGTCATGATTTCTCGCCATTTTGAAATTCTTAGAACAAGTGTCCTGCAGCTTCAAAGGATGTTTCGACTTGACTGACTTCTACAGGTTGGGATAAAACTCGCTCTCTGACAGACCGTTGACAGAGTCCCACTGTGACACCCGAGGTAAAGCTGCATCCCTGCTAACTGCAACCTTCACTGACAAAAAGCCTAATCAGACAGTTGAGGACCAGATCCACAGTCGTAGCAGAGTTTCCTCTAAACACATAAAACTATCAGAAAGTCTCACGTTGCATGCAAAGAAAGAATTGTGGAGTAATAATCCTCTGACTGCAGCTACAGGTGTCTGTCCACTGCTGATCCTTCTTTGTCACCCTCTCTCTCTCTCTGTCTCTCTCTCTCTCTCTTTCTCTGGAGCATCACAGGAAGAGATCCAAAGCACATATCATCCACCTGTGTCTGCATTACAACACTATCTTTACTTTGACTGACAGGTAGCTGGAGGTGGAGTCTAACTCTCCTTATCTAATAAAAAAAAGTCTTTCAACAACCTCCTGTTTAAAGAGGAACTAGATGATGGGATGTACACCAGACTCCCACAACCCTCCCCCTCCCCACTCACCACCACTACCACCACCCAGGGCCGGTTCTTAGCGTAGGCTATATAGTAGGTCCCCCCCCCCCCCCACCCACTCTGAAAAAAAAAAAAAAGTACTTATAATTTGACATTTTCGCACTTCCCTCATGTTCTGTCTTGAACATAAGAAATGAACATATAAAGAAACAAAGAAAGAATAATAAACTTTGCATCGCTGTTGTTATAACAGGGATGTTATAATATATTTCTCTGTTATTCTATATTTTGTTTGAGAAGTAATTCAGCTGTTGATGCTGTTTCCAAATGGCTGTTGTCCATATATTGTGGTGATAGGCTTCTAGATGGGGGGGGGGTGCCAAATCCTAAACTTGCCTAGGGCACAAAAATGGCTGGAGACGGCCCTGCCACCACAAAAAAAATAATAACTCAGAAGCAAAACTGAAAAGTAAGGAAAACATGGAATGATTCATAATGAAATTGACGGTTTAAAAGGGGCAAACGTTTTAAAAGTAACCTGCATGGACACATAAAACTGCTCATACTGAAGCGATCTTTCAACACGCTGTACAATGTTTCATTGTAGCATCTGAACATTTTACAGATCTGACCAGAGAAGAGGAGGTGTGGGCACCCACAGGGAGTCAGTCTTGCATGCACTACAGGAGTTAGAGCTGAGACCTTCCATTATGAGAGTTAATAGGATCGTCATTATGGCAGGAAGCAAATTAAATGCGTGAGACCTCTTCCCTCCTCCACACTTCTCAGGTGCAGCTCTGTGCGCACTTACAGAGCTCATTATAACTCTGACCAGCTCACAGAACATCAGACCCATGTAACAGGCTTGTCTTTTTCATTGATGCACAGTATGGTTCTTACTGTCCCATTGTTTCACATTTTCCAGTGAATATGGTGTTCTTTAGGATCAGTCTATAGAAATTCATTTATAAAATAAAATCTGGTAAAAATGTGCATCCTGAAGCTTCAAACACTTTGAACAGGGTCACTTGTATCTCAGATATGTCTTGTTTTTAGAGACAGTGTTATATTCTTAACACAAACCTTGTAAAAACGTATAAGCTCTAACGGTCTTGAGTTTTTCCTTAATCAGAAATATGTAACAAGCAAGCTGCTTTTAGTTTTGTCTTTTTAACGATCTGACAGATTCTGTATTAAAATGTTGAAATCTGCAGGCGCTGAACCTAATTTTCATATCAGAAGTTTATTCTTTTTAGTCGCTTTGTTCCACAGGCATGAATAAATGAAGGAAAACTGTGTGAGGGGAAACAAAAGGGAAAGAAGACAATACACTGTTAATTAACTCTATAAACAATCACCAGTCACTTTGCAGGGATTTAGCTTCTATCAATGTCTTTGACCAGATATCTACATGCAAGTGTGGCGAATAATCCCCTCTTAAACGTTGAATAGTCGAACCTCCATTCTTGCTTCTCAAGCTGCTGGTTGGATTGTAAACAAATGGGTGAGACAAAAAATAAATCATGGACAGAAGTCTTTTATCACTTACTGCTGGCTTCACTTGAAGCTCCTGAAAAACTGCCTGTCGCTCCCTGAGGCTACTGGCACTTACATACTTCCAATTCAAGGCGGGATATTCACACCCCGGTTACGCCCCATCTGCATCGCACAGAGGTGGAATGGTGGGGCAAAGTCTTTCTGACCCTGATCCGAGGTTGGATGAGGGGTTGTGTGTTTATACGTCATGCTTGTTGTGCAGTGTCGCAACACCACAACGCAACGTGATACCACACAATGGGACACAAAGGCGTAAGGATGACAGAACTTTGTTACTACGCTGTTGCGGAATCGCAAACGGTCAAAGGTCATCGTTAGCCAATGGGTTCCAAGTTCGGGATCTTACGACAGGAATCAGGAAGTAGAAATGTCTACAGTTTGTATGCTACCATAAAACATTAGGATGCCAATAGAGACATTAAAATAACAGGGCAACACTTAACCATGTGTCAGTGTGTATCAAAGGGTCACCAGTGCTTCTGAAATGTCTTGTCATGAGATCTATGGATTATATTTAATAAGAACTTTAGCAAACTCTCAAATATGTGTGCCAGTCCTCTCTCATGAATGTGCCACATTGTGGATCTGACAGGGCAGAGCTGTGGCTTGAATTATGCACTGACCATAGGACCTGCCGGGGTTAATTGCAGATTGACCTGGTTTTCACAGGGCTCTGATTAAAGCAATACACTCCTCTGAGTGTTGCCCTACTAAGCCCTTATCATAGAGTTCAACACATTACCATCCTGGCCCTCAATGTGCAATATCCAAAGATAGTTGAATAAAAGTAGGGTCACAGATCAAATTTTAAATATGACTGCACTTTAACTGCTGCTGCTGACGCCCTTTATTCTGCAGAGAAGTGAGTGTTTCCCTCCGACATTTAACAGACTCAAATGTTACACATGTCCTCTGCTGTTTCTCCACCAAAATAGAAAGGAAAATATCATGAGCCAAATGTGGAAAACTCTCCTCTGCTGCATCCATGACAACCTGCACACACACACACACACAGAAGTCTCACAAATTCCACATCATGTTTGACTAACTGTAACCGGTAAGTCTGAAGCATCTACAGATGGTTTTTGCTGCAGGGATCGGAAGTGACGACTTAACAACCCAATCTTCAAATTCTCCCTTAATCTCTGTCTCTTTGCGCTCCCTCTGCTCTCTGAGTAAGCCTCCGCCAAAGTGTGAGAGACCTTCTGAAACCAATCTGACGTGTGAGATTGTATCCACACTCTATCTCCACGAGCTCAGTCTGTAAGTTCCCGAAATATCTCTGCAGCTTTTATACCTCTATTCGCTCATTTATGATAAGTGGCTTAGAAAAGTAGGTGTAAAGATTCTGAAAGCATCATAGGTGGACTGATTTATTGAACTGATTGTCCCCTAAATTCTTTCATTTATTGCTTTTTTTATGTTCTGCCTCTTCCCTCTAAAAGAAGTCGTAATAGATCAAGCAAGGCTGATTGAAAAGTCATTGAAAACTGTTTCAATGACCTGAATGACACCCTGTTGACGTGATTCTTTCAAAGTATATTACAGAAAATGTAATCCATTGAAAACAACCCTATAAAAGAGCTAATTTGAGCTCTCTCTTTAAAAAAGAAAGTAGAGGAATGGTCTATTGATTTGAAGTGTCACTGAAATAGAACTGGCTTGTGTACAGTGTAAGACAGCATGAAAAAAGGAATAACAATTGAACCCCACATAAAAAGTGGTTAAACATTAACATCTTTCCAACGTGGCATTCATAATGATAATTGGGGACGGAGAGGTGTGTGTTTAAAAATGCTGACTGCTCAGACAGGCTGTGTTTCGTTTCCTGTGATTGAATCGAGTTGTAAGGCTTGGATTGAGAAATTGTCGGCATCATGCTGAAAATGTCTTGCTAAAAATAGATTTGAAGTGATTGAATGAGCCAAATATAATCCTCCCAGACACAAAGCATCGTGCACTATAATTATTAAAGTCACACAAAGGGAGACAAGAATTAAAAAATCGAAGTAACACCAGAAGGAAACTGACATGAAGCAGGTGTAGGGACAAGATTAGCAGTGAAACCAAACAAAGATCACACACAAAGGTCACATTGAGGTCCATCAGATAAGGTCAGGGGCCAAAGTGCAGCCCCCTCCTCCATGCACAATCTCCTCCTACCTTGTGGAATGGTGAGCTGCTGTATGGGACTTTTGGCTGGAACAGCTGGGGCTCTAGTGCTGCAGAAATCCGGGGGTCACTCCCATCTTGTTTCCTACAATTGGACAGATGCCGGAGAACATTCAGTTAGAAAAGGTCACTCCGTTTGAGATCAAGAAAGAGGACCACACGCCTCAGGAAATGTTGCTGACGCAGTGAGATGGCCTTTAGCCAAGAGAGTAAAGGATTATTATTGTGATTGTTTATAGCTGTTAGTTTTATTTTTCTTATTTCTGAATGTAAGAAGTATAGAGTGACCCTCCCCAAAATGCAAACAGCCACCCCAGGTGCAGCCTATTAATTCTAAACTGTGATAGGCTATCTGGCGCAGATCCCAGCTATAATTGGGCGAGAGGCGGGGTACAACTTGGACTGTTCACCCGTAAATCACAGGGCTGACATATAGAAACAGACATCCAGCCACCCTTATGTTCACATCTACGGGCAATTTAGTGTCACCAATTCACCTAACAAGCACCTAACAAGCACTGGAAAATGGACTCCACACAGAGAGGCCCCTGTCCCCCCTAACCCTAACCCAGGGATGTGAACCCTGAGCCATTGAGGCAACAGCGCTTACACCGTGCAGCCCTAATGCAAAGACTTTCCTCACCAAAATATATTTACTTTAATATGAAAAGTAAATATATTTAATAACTATCTTGGAGAAAAAAAATGCCATATATAGATATATATATCTATATATCTATATATGCCATAAATGAATATATTAAATATTCCTAAAAGATGTCAAATGAAATCCTCTGTGCGGGTTTTTTTCTCTCTTTGGGTGCATATATAAGCCTGTATTAACAACTCCAGGGAAATCCATACCCACTCTGTAGTTTCACATATATTCAAATACAGCTCCTCTCCTCTCATACTCAGGAGAGCCGCACATCACTAACGCCAAAGTGAGCAATACCACTGTCACGCATCCTTTGCTCTAACCTCAATATCTCTCTCTGGACGGCTCAATCCCCCCACAGGATCACTAATCGATCACTGACCCCCCCCCCCGCGCGCTCAACGTCCTGCCCTATCGACACTGACTACAGACCCGTCTGCAAGGCAGGCTTTCAATTTGTTTGAATTATTCAATAAATTTCAAACACACAGGGAGATCGATCAGCATGCAAGTGGATCTGAAATGAACATGAAGTGGTGATAATGCAAAGTGAAAACTGTCTCTAGCTGCCTGTGAAGACAGAAGACACATGAAATATGATTCTCTGTGTTTAATAGATTCACATGCAGGATATCATTATCTAATGGGTTCAATAATTGAAAGAGACTAATTGATTGAACTCAAAAAAACAAATCATGTCCTAGTAGGTAGTGTATATCTCAGTGCAGAGAGGGTAATTAATCATTGAAGTGAATGCATGAAAGTGTGTGTGATGAGACAAACAGCTGCTTACTGAGAGAGAATCTGTTCAATGACTGTACTCCAATCCAAATGTAGGTGACCAAAAAAAAAAAAAAGGGTGATTCATTAGCATACAGCGCTGCCTGTTATTTCACAACAGGAGGGGGAATCTTCAATCAGAGAAGCTCCAAAAACAAAATGAGAACAGTCGTATTATTTTCTCAGCAGGCAAAATAAAAACGAACGAGGCAAAATAAAAACGAACGAGGCAAAATAAAAACGAACGAGGCAAGGAGACCCAGCAGCAGCAGCAGCAGCAGCAGCGGATCTCCCATAGGAGACCGGGATACGATCAGGCATCAGCTGCCCTAAACTCTTAATTAGAAGTGATGGTCAATATATGGACGCAGGACAAACACAGACACACGGCTCAAACCGAGAGAAACAACTCGCTTAGAGATAGATATTGTATTACGCAGAGCCTTGCATAAGCATTAACCTCCTTGAATTTTTGCATCTTTTTAACTGACATGTCATTGGGGATGTACGTAACGGACAAACAGAAAATAGTCTTTAATATAAAAGCCGGAGACGTTGGATATGAAAAGGTTTTTAAATGTATTCTCAAATCATATAATAGAAGCTCTGCTGGGAAAAGTTCATCATTACAATATAAAGCAAAAACAAGGCATTTCTAGGTAAGATCAGGTGCAACAAATTTCCTTTAAGTAAATATGTTAGCGTCTAACAAATGTTTGCTTTTTGGAAGAATCTCAACAGTAAAAAGCCAAATAAAATATATCTAAATTCCTGATTGTAAGGCTTTTAAAATATGTAACAGGTACATTTATAAAAGGCAGAGTATTAAAAAAAAAAAGATACAAATTGTAAAGGAACCTCCTTTCTATGGCATCTTGTGCATACTGTGCAAAAACCGTACATACTGTAGCAATGACACAATTGAAAAGTTCTTTGTACTACATCAGAGTAAAACTGACAGAAGAAGTGTCCACTACAAACTCGTCCTGTTGTACAGCACATGCTCCTGTACATACTGTTTACACACACCTGCCTGCCCCGTGCAGCGTGAACACGTAAGCCCTCTTGCAGATCAGTTTGCAGCACTAAGCCACCGCTTCATCCCAACACCACAACAAATTACATAACACACCCCAGCTGGTTCACGACGCACCACACAAATCATCTGCATGAAGAAGAACAACAGGATATCACTCGGGTGCCCCGATGTCACGCGTGGAGCCGTGAGGCAAACTTACTCTGACAGAGGCAGCTGGACGCTCGACGGGAAAGTCCGGACAGTGACCAGTAACAGAGCAGGCAGATGACTCACTCACTGTCTACGCTTCTCCTCTGGTTTAAAGCCTTTCTCTCTCTCTCTCTCTCTCTCTCTCTCCCTCCTCCCTTGTTTTTCAGTTATCTCCTCTCTTTCTCTCCTTCCTCATTGACTCTCCTCTCTCTAGCTTCACTCGCTGCTCTCCATCACTCGTTCACCTGCTGGCCTCACTCTCAGCTCTTTACACTGTCGCACACTCTCAGTGAGCATCCTCTCTGCCTCTCATTCTCCTCCCTCTCTCTCTCTCTCTCTCTCTGTCTCTGTCTCTCCTCCCACTCAGTCTTGCACACACACATATGCACTCTTCAATTCCTTTATCTCCACCCTCTTTGTCTGCTCTCAAGCTCACACACACAAATAGCACTTGTCCGAAACATAGAACTCTAAAGCAAGCACCCCCCCCCCCCCCCCTCAACCGACCACCAACATCCCTTCCGTTATCCCCCTTCAAAGCAGGAGACCCTCCCCCCCTCATTCACCCAGGGGGATGACTGAAGTCTGCCACTCGGAGAGCGATAGGCCTGATTTGGGTAACGGGGGTGTCTTTTAATCCCCACACTGCCTCACAAGCCAGCTAGGGTTGTTGCTGTGGTAACCACATCAGCCACACGTGAATAAAAAAAAACACCCACATCCACATTCATGTTCATGATGTGACTTAAACAAGTTGTCCAACATAAAGTCCAAAAAGTGAGCATATGTATAGACTTTTAAAATGGGTTGGTTTGGGGTGGTCTAGTGGGTAGATTATGTGCCCCATGTACCGAGGTCACAGTCAAGCAGTTTAGGTTCAAATCCGACCTGTGGCTCCTTTTCTGCATCTCATTTCCAGCTCTCACTCTCTCTCTCTCTCTCTCTTTCCAATTTCCAACTCTATCCACCGTGCTGTCCTTCTAACAAAGGCATAAGAAGCCAAAAAGAAATCTTTAAAAAATGGGTTGGTGTGAGAGGAAAGACGCTGGAACAAAACATTAAGCATGGAAAAAGTTCCATTTAGGATGTACAGCATACCTGATGAACACATTGTGAATCAGAGCACCCATGTTAATTCTTCTCCAAGCATCAGCTCCTACACAAATAGAAAAGATATACCTAATAGAATATATTTACTTTACCCCTATTTTTTGACGAGGTCCAACACAAGATGTGAAGTTTTAACAATGTCTCGTGAAGTTAAGTAAGACTAAAGTGACATGAAACCTTTCCTCACAGAGACAATATACAAAGACCGAGAGAGGAAAGAGAAAATTAATATATATATATAATTAACTCCAAAAGAAACACAGACGGAGGGACTTTGAACTTAAACATTAAATATTGGAGTTTCTGGATCTATTGATTTGTACAGTCATGCACATACTAAGAGGCAGAAATGATATTACAGCAACAGTGAAAGAGAAAGGTTCATATTTGACCCTTTTTCAAACAAATCGAATACTGTACTTTCATTGTGTCGGATGAAAAAGCATGTGTGGAAAGGTTTTTAATTACTGTAATGACGCTTATTGAATCCCCAGTGAACATGCGCGTTCCCTTCTCTAAGCTTCAAATCGCAGCTCCCAGCAGACCTGTGACTAATGTCACCGGCAGAGCCTTTTCCTGCTTAAATCCCTGCTAAATAACATTGTGTGCAGGGAAAGTGTCATCTCATCTGTCCTTCTCTTAGACAGCTCCTCAGCGAATAACCTCAGACTACAGTGTGTGTGCGTGTGTGTGTGTCTGTGTGTGTGTGTGTGCGTGTTGTATGTGTCAGACATGAAGAGATAACAAGGGATTAAAGCACAGTCATCATACTGTTCTCCATTAAGAGCTGTGTTTTGTGATAAACAAAACAAATAATCCTCTCACTGTCCAAAGCCGACTGCTAAAAAAACCCTCTATTATATCACTGGACCAAACTTCGACTTTGACCAGATTAGCAGTAATTTGTGGAGGCGCTCCGCTGTAAGGGGACATGTCTCGCTATCTCTCTTTTAAACCCTCAAGCAAAGACTGCAGATGTTCTATTTTTTTGGGCTCAGTGTGGGGTTGTCTGTGAGAGCTTTTGTCAATAGCATTTATGGATAAAAACACATAATCAGATAAGAGCAGACAGATTTCCCGTGTTGAGCTCTGCTTTCCTACAGATTATTGCGTCTGATTCCATTCAAATAAAAAAGGAAATGAAATTACGGCACATTGTCTGTCTTGGACCTCAACACTTTTGAATGCTGCCAAAATATTGAATAACAGCTGAAGCAGAAGAAAAATCATGAGCCATCAAGAGGTTTATTTTTATCTCCTGTGAAAGAAGACGGTTGGTTTAAAAATAATATTATCCTGCCAGTTCCTG